ATTCCTCTGTTCAACCACTGTTAAGTGCTTTATTCTTCAGGCTATACTTCAATGCCCTGCTCTTAATTTTCTGTTAACATGATTAATGCCCATAAGAAAAAAAATTTTTTTTAATCTTTGTTGTCAGAAGTATTGAGCTTTTACATTTCAGTATGTTTTTCATTCAAAGTAACCAGTTCACCCTCCTTCACCAGACAATCCAATAATGCTTTTCTGAAGCTCATGTTGATGAACAATTTCATGGGTGCTTTGTGACTATATTTCATTCGTGAACCAAGCTATTCAGCTTCCGCTATCAGCAAGCCATTCAGCTCCCACCTCCTCCCCCTTCCTGAATGGGATAAATTAATTTCTTCAATTAGGATTTTATATAAAATTCAAAAACAACTATGGAGTAATCACAATAGCTGGAGATAAAAGTTAAGAACAATTCAGATGTCCTGTTGCGATACAATCTTCCAGACAATGCCTATGAATCTGTTTTCTTTAATAGTTTTGCATTTGTGTTTGGACGAACTGCTGTGGAATGTATAGTAATGTTGCCAATTGTTTCGCTGTTCATTCACCTCATTTGATTAGAATGGTATGATTAAATCTAACCATTTTTCAATACACTATAAATACAGTAATATGTATGACCTATATATTGCAACAGAACTTTGACAGATATTGCGTAGGTTTTCATAATTTCGGGTATCATCTTGATCTGCTCAATCCTAGGAGTCTCTGACCAGATTATGAGGCTTATTCATGCTGAAAGATTAATTTCCCTGCATGTCACCGTGACCAGCTGTTTATTGCTATTGCTGTCATGCACTCATACCATTTTGGCAGGAAGAATGACACAGGTTTCAAATAAAACAGATTGTTTCACAGTAATCATTCGTGCAAGATCTGTTGTATTTGTTTTTTTAACCCTCTGGGAACTGAAGGTAACTTCATTTTCCCAGTAAAGAAGTACATTCAAAATACTTCTGCAACGCTTGTGCTTTCTTTACTTCATCTGATTTGTTCTGTACACTATGCAATGCTATAATTGGTACTGTTTATTATGTTGCGCGAAAATAATTGTTATGACTAGATATTCTGAACACTATCATTATGAATAGAGGACTGATTTTATGCAAAAGTGCAATTTGTAATAGCTAGTTTGAAAAAAAAACTGCTTAGTCTTAACATTTATTAATCAGTACTTACTGCATTAAAACTTGATACTTTTGTTCAAAATGCAGAATTCACAAACTGGATGTTACACTAATTTTACCACTTCAACGGTACAACTTTCATGATTTGCTAACATTCAATCCAAATTCTCTTAAAATTATGCGAAAAAAAAAACAAGGCTGCACTCTCCACATCTCAAAGGCAGTCAGGAACCTCGGTGTTCTGTTCGACCCTGAGCTGTCCTTTCTTCCTCATATCCACGCCACAACTGGCACTGCCTTCCATCACCTTCGGAACATCGCCAGACTACGGCACTACCTCACCCCTCACGCTGCTGAAACCCTGGCCCTCGCCTTTATCACCTCAAGGCTGGACTATGGGAACTCTCTCCTCGCCGGCCTTCCCGGCACCTCCCTCCACAAGCTGCAGGTCATTCAGAACTCTGCAGCTCGTGTACTGTCCTGCACCGGGCTTCGGGAACACATCACTCCCACCCTTGCTCACCTCCACTGGCTCCCCATCCCCCAGAGGATCGATTTCAAGATCATCATCCTCACCTACAAGGCCATTCACGGCCTTGCACCCTCCTACCTCTCTGACCTACTATCCCCCTACCTACTTGCCCGTACTCTCCATTCCTCTGGCTCCGGTCTGCTCCATATCCCTCGCCCCAACCGCCCTACCATCGGTGGCCGGGCCTTCAGCCAATGTAAAGAAATTTATTGAGTTATAAAGATCATTTCCAGTTTGGACTTTATAGTCATTACAATACATAAACTTAATTTATAAAATACACAGAATACAAAATACAGTCAATTCACTTTACAATATGTGACGTGATAAGGCGCTATATCAAATGCAAGGATTATTATTACATTTCTACGGAGTAAGGAAGTGGTAATGATGCAGTGGTACACTTCAACAACAACAACAACAAAATGACATTTATAGAGCGCCTTTCACGTCGGGAGGACATCCCAAGGCGCTGGACAATCAGGGGTCGGACCCGAGCATGGGGGCGGGATGGGGTAGGGGTGAGGGAAACCAGAGAGGTGGGAGGGTGACCGAAGGCACGATCAAAGAGGAGGGTCTTGAGACCGGCCTTGAAGGAGGCAAGGGAAGAAGCGAGGCAAAGGGATGTGGGATGGAATTCCAGAATGTGGGGGCAGAGAGGCTGAAAGCCCGGCCACCGATTTTAGGGCAGGTTGGGCGGAAGACATGGAGCCGGCCGGAATCTGCTGAACAGAGGTAGCGGGCAGGTTGGTAGGGAACAGCAATGCTTCCTGGTTCCTTTCATGGTGTATTTCAGACCTTCCCCAGCCATCATGGGAAAGTGAGATTTCTGAAGTTGAATTGATCTGGGATAATCAGACTCAGAGCCAGAACTGTCTGTCAGTCATTGGCTGTAGATGGTGAATGTTGGAGATTGAGGAGAAGGGTTAAAAAAGTGTTACTTTATTGAAAACTGAAACTGACACTTAGATTAGGTTATCAAAGGTCGTGACAGACAAATTACTGGTTCAGTTTGGACCTGTTCTGCAAATCCTTGGTATCAATTAGCTTTATTCGAACTGACTGGCAACTTTTATTTCTACTTAGCTCATTATTAATTACAGGGACTTATTCAGTGACACATAATTGCCTCCATGGATTAGGATCAAAAGATTAAACTCTCTTGTAATGAGTTCTATAAAAGTATTGTTCATGTGAAGATTTAATTGAATCTGAAATGTAGATACATCTTTTCATAATTTTTAAAATGATGAGAAAAATCAATAACTGATTGCAAACTGAAATCTAAGGTGTCTGATAGATTTGCACTCTGTATAATCCCATGAATAAATCTGCATTATTTTTCAGTAAAACAATGCTTCACAAAGGGCAAGCTTCTTTCTTGTGATTTGCAGCTTGTGTTTTTTGGTAATAGGATTTCTCCACCAGGATGAGTCTTGCAATTGGAATTTAATTTTAGGATTCCATGTTCTGTGGAGTGGATGTGATGAAGAGGTCACTGGCTCATGTTAGTCCAGCAGGTTCACTCCAGACAAAATGGATGAAATTGAGATTTTAAAGGATTTACAATGGACTCTCGTCAATGCAGATTTATTTAAAACTAGCCAAGAGCACAGGAGGAGGGAAGGTCTGGTCTGGTTTGAAGGAACTCTCTGCCTTTCCCTTTGTGCTGGTGCTTGTGTAGATTTGCTTCTCATTCAATGATTTAAACTCAGTTGCTTATTTGTATATTATATTGGTGCCACCAAATCACGATGCCCAAAGAGGGAGGACACAGTTTACATGTGATTAGCTACACAGTAAATCAGCTTCCCATTCCTCAGTCCTTTTGACAATCATTTGAGAAAAAAGTTATAGTTTCTCAATTGTTCTTAACTTTTCTCACTCTGTTTGTAAGGAAAATAGACTATTTTGTTTTCAAAATGGCTCAGTTGGTAGCACTAAGATAGTATTAACGTTCCCATTAAACTATTCTAAAAGAAAAGAGAGTTTCTCCCAGTGTTCTGATCAACGATTCTCCAGATAAAATTGGTCATTCACTTCATGGCTGTTTGTGAGACAATGATGTGCAAAAATTAGCACCCATTTTGCCTACAAAATCATAGTAATTTTGCTTCACAGCAATTACTTGTGTAGTTCTTTGAGACATTTCAATGTTACAGGTGTTGTATCAAATGTAATAGTTGTTGAATGTGGTATTTGAGTCGATGTGGAATTTTAAACTTTTTTTAGGATTTTTTTTGAAGATTAATTTTTTTTGTCCAGATCTTTATCCGTAAGAGTTTTAGTTGATTTGCCCCAAAAATATATTCTGGTGAAACTAGCTAGTGCAAAGGGGATATTTTCATTCAGATTGTTTTCAAACATAACATGCCTGAATTGAAAAAAATATTTTATCATCCAGCTGGCCTCATATCTTCATTGTCGGCTACCAATATGTAACAAAGTGCGAGTTTTATGTACGAGAAAGAAACCTGATTTCTCTCAGGTGGAGGGAAAATAAAGAGTGGATAGTTGTGGTGGTTATCCCCCCCTAGTGGATTTAAAATAGAATTACTAGAAACATTATAATAATAATAATAATAATCCTTGCATTTGATATAGCGCTTTTCATGTCAGGAGGACATCCCAAAGCTCTTCACAGAACACACTGTAAAGTGAATTGACTGTATATTTGTGGGCGAACGCGGCAGCCAATTGCGCACAGCAATGTCCCACAAACAGTCGTAGATTGAAAATGACCAATTTATTATTGTTTTTGGAGGGATTATTATTAGGCGCGTGGAGTAAGGAAACTTGCCCAAGGTTTCGACCTCTGCCTGGAATTGAACTCAGGTCTCTCACTTGCTTATGAGACTTGAATCCAGGAATATTTCATTATTCTTAATGAGTTCAATCGGATTTTGCTTTTTTCACCATTAAAAAAAAATCATTTATCTCCCAAGGCAGTTTATTTTAGTATAAACATTGGGCTCCTTGAAGGAAATTAAATAGTGCCATGGGCGATGTGCAGCAAGGTAATTCATTGATGAGGTAATCTTAGGGCACTATGGGCTACTTTATTCCAAAGATAATTACCAAATTTATAATAATCTGCACAAGTAATTGTGACTATTAGATTACTTGTTATTATAATTATTATTATTACTTCAAATGTGAAGTGTTGGGAACCTTGGTCTGTCTTTGTGTATGTATGTGTGCATGTGTATATCTATACACAGTAGTAATGCCTAACTTGTCTTCTGGATTTGTACCATTGTGGCATTTCTTCTAACCTTATTGAATTGTAATGTTTTTCTCACTTTTGATACATGCAACCACAGGGTACACAGCTGATTTTTACTGCTGCTAAAGAACTGGGGCAGTTGTCTAAGCTGAAGGTATTGGTATATTGCACGATCAGTAGACTTGTTCATGTACAGCTGAATGCATGCAATGTCCCAGCCAAAAAGATACACTAACTTTTTTTTCTTATTTCCATTCTTAACAGTAAATAATTGAAAACAAATTGATTTGAAGAATGTTTTGTTTGTAATAACTATGTGAAATAAGTTTATCTTTGGTTTCATGAATAGATGTTGCATGTATTCTACTATCTGTTGTGTTGTCAACTCCATCATACTCTCCAAAAGAAATCGGAAAACCCAAACATTGCAAATTCTTGTTTTTTGTCACTTGACAGATAGAGTGGTCCAGTAGAATAAATAGAGCTATTCAGTTCATGCTTCTTCTATATATAAAGCCATTGGAAGCTGTCCTGAGCACTGCTCCAATGAACTTCTCAGATGATTCTTGAAAAGTGGCTTTGGATTCTTGGAAACTGGCTTGAGCATTGAATGCCCTTTGCAATTCTAAGAGGTGTTAAAGACAGGGTCCTGTGCGATGCATTGGGTTACCACACTGTGTTTTCCCTTTCAGGACATGCCTGGATTTTAATCCAACTCAGATTAATGGGATTAAAGTTGCTTCTCTGGTACCTTTGTTATCAATCTACCAAATCTTCATCTGCCTGAATATACAACACACACATATGGTGTTAGTAGGCATAAATTTCGAGTTTAACTGAGAGTGTTACTGGCGTGTGAAATAGAAAGTCACACTAGTACAACTGTTTTGAGGATGAGGGGTATCTTAAGCTGTTTTGAGGCAGAACACCATTGCCGTACATTATACTGCACCAAAAGTGGGATTGTTCAATCCCGAACAAAACTGGTGTAAAATATTCCAATTCATTACACAGCATTGATATCTCACTTTAACGAGCACACAGGTTAGAAACCTAAGGTGGATGGAGGGGTCCTTTGAGGCACATTTTCAATTAAGTTTGATCTTATGGCATAATTATTATATTTCTACTATTATCAAATATTACAGAAAAGACATGAAACTTTTGTTGTATTTGGGTAACAATGGTCAATGCAGAATCCCTGTTAGTTACTTACTGAGATGTAGAACAGACTTCATGAGTTGCAGTGTTTGTCTACATAAGGCAAGAATTCCTGATGATTGATTCAACATCAATACCACTCTCACTTCCGTCCAATCTATCAGGAACTGTTCCAGCTTCCAAAGAAGTGATCGAGAGGCTTGAAGCATTGAGGTTCGCCAATTATAAAATACTTGTTACAATTCCAGCAGGCAGTGCTAGCATTCCACACATTGCTTATTAGTGAACAGAAAACAAGATGCTGCTGTTTGGGTCCTTTTGTAAAAATGTTTATAAAAATAATTTCCTTTGTGTAATTACTATTAAAAAAAATCTTTTGATCTTCCAGGATCACATGGTCCGGGAAGAAGCGAGAAGCCTTACACCGAAGCAGTGTGCCATCATGGACCTGGCACTGGATACAATTAAGGTAAAGGACTGCAATAGAGCTTAACTGATATCACACTGATAAAATCATATTGGTCCCAATCTTTGGCAGCTGTTTACAACAACAACAACAAGATTCCATTTATAAAGCGCCTTTCACGTCAGGAGGACGTCCAAGGCGCTGCACAGTTGGGTCATGACCCGAGCAGTGGGGAAATGGTCAGGGTGAGGGGAGGGAAGGGAGGGAGCGAGGAAGGGGAAGAGAGTCGAGAGGCGAGCTGAAGGCTCGGTCAAAGAGAAAAGATCATACCCAATTCATGGTGCTGAATTCATTATTGCAGTCAACATTGTTTTATACGTTTGTTAATAGATTTATTCACTCGGACTGGTTGTTCACAGGAATGTGAATTATAGGTCTGATCATCCCCAGAAGTCCATCAAAAATGAATATTGTGAACTCCCTCTTGTGCACCTGGTTAATTTGTTTCACGTAGCGTCTGCACATAAAGGCACAGTCTGCCTAGATTAAATAGATGGAGGATGCTTGATAGCTGTCAGTGCATTTGGAATCTGTAATCCAGACGGAGGGGCACAGCTGACAACCTAGACAGTGAGATCCAAACTCGAGTCATTTGCTCACATCTGCCGAATCCCAAGATTGTAATTCACTGACAGGCACCTGATATTTATTTTATGAAGAGATGAGGAATTTTAAACTTTATTTGTTTAAAATGACAGATACCGTTCTATTTTCCTCCAGCAAGCAGTAGATTTGACGTCAATTGACTGATTGCAGCTTGATGTGGGATCACACAAGATGCCAAGTGTGGAATAATAAATCTCACTGGATACAAGTTTATTTTTTTATAATGTGTACAACACTCGCCACTCGCCATAATAAGGCCTATTAAAACTTTTGCTCCACAGTTGTTGCAGAACACTATCAAATTAATAGAAGTTGAACATGCGTTTTATTGTCTTGCTGCTCTGTGTTCTGAGTATGTGGTGAGGATATAATGAATGGGACTCAGGAAGAACATTTTTTAACCTTTTTTTTCCTTTCTTCCCTCTCCTCCTTGGAGGCATTTGACACCTTTGCCCTTTTACTAGGTTACAGTTCCATAATCCATAATCCAAATAGCTATTAATTCATGTCTGAACCTCAACAATAGGTGTTTGCTGGATATATTACTAATTACTACGCCATCTCCAACCTCCCCTTCCTTTACAAGAATTGTTGCTTCCCACTCCTTCCTCTCCTGCCACTCCCTTTACTGGTTTCCGTGCTCCCCACTTCCAGAAACTTCCAGAGTAACCCCTATTTCTGACCAATATGTGCGTGTGTGGGGGGAGTCTGTTTTTATTCTGCTTTTAATTCACGGAAGTGCACAGTGTTTGTGGTGATGGAGAGGAGGGGACTCGGAGAGTTTCTGTGGTGTTTATCTCTCTCGTCCAACACCCCCTCCCCCACCCTCCCCCACCAAAAAGAGGTTTCAGAGCACTCAACATTATCCAAGTTGATTGTGTATTGTCTTTATGTGATCATACAGCATCGCTGTTGTCAGATTGTCCATCGTGTGTGCACTTGCTTAAAGAAAAATACCCTTTGCTATTGGAGGTAGCTTTTGCTGGTCTGTTCAAAGGACACTTGTTCCTTTAGCTGGTAGTTTGGCACAGGAGCTATAATTGCATGTGAATCCTGCACCGTTGCAGCTGATGAATGTTTGATCGAAGAAATAGATTTCTGTGAAGTGACCAATGAGTTAGCTGCCAAATTGTGATCATGACAGGAAAGTGGACTGTATCCTGATTGGGGTCATTGATCGCTTGGCGTGTTCTTCTGTACAAACAGAACCTTTGAAACTTCACCAATTTTTCTGTCATACAGCCAAACCTTGTAATTGTTACGAAAGAATGATGGCTTGGATGGCTCAGTGGTTAGAGCACTCGCCTCGCAAGCGAGAGACCTGGGTTCGATTCCCGGCAGGGCAAGACATTGGGCAAGTTTCCTTACTCCACATGCCTCTGCTTACCTAGCAGTAAGTAGAAATCCGTTTATTAGTCAACTTGCGGATCTCTTTTCCGGGGATAATAATTCCTTCAAAAAATAATAATAATAACTTGGTCACTTCAATCCACGACTGCTTGTGGGACACTACTGTGCGCAATGGGCTGCTGCGTTTCGCCTACAAAATGTACAGTCAATTCACTTTACACTATATTCTGTGAAGTGCTTTGAGACGTCTCGTAGGCATGATAAGGTGCTATATCAAATGCAAGTATTATTGTTGTGTTGCCTCACCTGCTGCCGCAAATAAAAGCTGTAGGGATTCGAAAACCTACGGCCTTGTGATCTTTAGGACTCTATTGCTGTGTCGAGTAGAGCCTTTACTCACTTCCAATGGGAGAGCTTTACTGGTCATAGATTAATACAGGACAAAGTTGGAAGACGGTTCCAGAGGACTGGGTTATTGTGGCTGGAATCAAAGTGCAGGGGAGGATATTGGCTTGAATTGGAGAAAATTGCACAAATTAGTTAGGAGTGACAGCATAGTAGGATTTGAAGACTAAGCTCTTGACTAGGTTCCAACTAGTTTTGTGAGCCTGCTCAAGGCTAATTAGTTACATTGCAGCTTATTCTAGTATTTTTTTACTGGATAAAGTGCAATTTTCTCTCAAATTTCTTTTATCACATTTTAATGTTGCAGTAAGTTATAAGACTGTTCATTGAGAATGTCCGAAGCAATACTTGTTTAAATTGCATAAAATGTAGCACTACAGACTCCTGTTTTTTGTCCCAGATCTAAGAACCTTTCTTGGCTGTTTTTGTTAGGTTTCTCTCTTTCAGTGAACTTTCTTTAGCAGTCCTTCCTCACGAGATGCCTTTCCCTTCACTGGCTAATCAGCTTGGAGAGATTGTCCTTCTCTTCACCTTCATGCCTGTGGGAAATCAACAAAGTGCCTTCTAGTTGAGAGCACCAAAGTAGTTCTAAACCACTCTGGAGCAGTTTTTCAGGAAGGGATGATATTGAAGTGGACAGTTGTACTTGCAAGCACAGTTAGAGGGATATCGCCACCCTTTGTGAGAGGAGAATAAATTCTAATATTTATGCAAATGCCTTAGAATAGATTGTGGAGTTTTTTATATATTGTGCTCAATTGGTTGCCGCGTTTCGACCACAAATATACAATCAATTAACAGTATATTCTGTGAAGAGCTTTGAGACGTCTCCGCAATATTGCCAGACTCCGCCACTGCCTCACCTCTCAGGCTGCCGAAACCCTCACCCATGCATTCGTCACCTCAAGGCTTGATTACAGGAACTCCCTCCTCATCAGCCTTCCCAACTCTTCACAGCTGCAGATCATCCAAAACTCTGCAGCTCGTGTATTTTCACGAACCATGCTCCATGACCCTTTCACTCCCACCCTCGCCTGATTCCACTGGCTTCCCATCCCCCAGAGGATTGAGTTCAAGCTCCTCGTCCTCACCTTTAAGGCCATTCTTGGCCTTGTCCCGTCCTACCTCTCTGACCTACTGACGCCCTACCAACCTGCCCACTTCCTCCATTCATCGGGCTCCGGCCTACTCCATGTCTCCCGTCCGACTCGCCCGACCATCGGTGGCCGGGTTTTCAGCCTCTCTACCCCCACACTCTGGAACTCCATCCCATGGTCCCTTCGCCTCTCTTCCTCCCTTGTATCATTCAAGACTGGTCTTTTCTTCGACCGTGCCTTTGGAATCCCTCCCTCCCACCTCTCTGCCTTCCTTCACCTCTACACCACTCCTCCCCCATGCTCGGGCCCCGACACCTGACTGTTCAGCGCTTTGGGACGTCCTCCTGATGTGAAAGGTGCTCTATAAATGTAATTTTGTTGTTGTTGTTGAAGATATGAAAAGTGTTAACAACAACAACAACAAGATTCCATTTATAAAACGCCTTTCACGTCAGGAGGACGTCCCAAGGCGCTGCACAGTTGGGTCAGGACCCGAGCATTGGGGAAATGGTCAGGGTGAGGGGAGGAAAGGGAGGGAGCGAGGAGGGGGAAGAGAGTCGAGAGGGGAGCTGAAGGCTCGGTCAAAGAGAAATCAAAACCAAGGATTATTATACAATTATCTTGTGTGTTTATTTGAATCTAAAGGGTCATCACCCTTTATTATCGAGAATGTGGCCTGAAAAAACATTGTGCATGTGTTGGTGACACTTGCCCTCCTGTTTTGAAATTGCAGCAATACTTCCACGCTGGTGGAAATGGGCTGAAAAAAGCTTTCCTGGAGAAGAGTCCAGACCTTCAATCTCTGCGATATGCACTCTCGCTCTACACTCAGACCACAGACACCCTCATCAAAACATTCGTTCAATCTCAAACTGCTCAGGGTAAGTCTTTCCAAGAAATGTTTTTGCTTGTAACCTTCTTGTTTGTCATGGCTCTGTTTGAAGCAGTGGCCAAACCAGAAATTGTAAATTTAACCTTCTCCCGGTACCTGCATATTAGTTAAAAAGATGTCAGGATGTTTTGGTGAATAATATTTAGTCTTTTCAGCTGGAACATGACCCTGGATCACACAATGACAGCACAGCTAAGACAGCATGATTATGCTGTGAAAGTCACCTTCTGTATTTGCAACAATGAATATTTAAACATTTTTATACATTTTTTTCATTGTGGAAAAATCAGTGCATCATATTCAGTAGTTTATGGGGTAACTTTTGCGCTTACTAAGTTAATTCTCAAGAGATGGATTTTAAAAAAAGAAACTAAAGAGTCATACACAACCAAAAATTTGAAAAATGATATTGAGGGATGGATATTTTCAGTTCTTAGTCAGGCCATTAGGAGGAGGGCCATACTTTAATAATGGGGATTGTTACATTTATTATAGCATCTTTTCATGTCGTTGAGACATCTCAAAGTAGTTTACAGGATTTTCTATGAAGTGTACTGATTGTATTTGTAGGCAAATGTTGCAGCCAATTTGTGCACAGAAATATCCCACAAAGAGACATGATGTAAATGACTGAGTTTATCTAAGGTAATGTTGCCCAGGACACCAGGAGAAATTCCCTTCTCTTTTTGAATAGTGCAGTGAGATCTAACTGAACAGTCAGAACAGGACCACAGTTTTACCATTTGATCTGAAGGACATCATTTTCAACCATGCGGCTCCCCTCCAGCAATATATTGGAGTGCAGCGTGGGGCTTGAGCTCATAACCTTCTAATTCAGAGATGATAGTATTACCAACTGTGTCAGGCTGACACCGTAGAAGAATTACTCTGCTGGACTGACTGCAGTGAACCTTGGTGTGGCCCTGGTATATAAAGTATAAGAGCAATCTGGAACCCATTAGGTTGTCATTTCATTTGAAAGAAGGCTGAATGGAATTAATCTTTGCATTTGGAATAGCACCTATTACATTAAATATCTGAAAGCACTTCATAAAAGTTTCTGTAAAATGTATTAACTATGTATTTGTAGGCAATTAGTTGAATAAAACTTTATTAAATGATGAAAAATAACTCAATAAAGTGTTCAATTTATTTGGAACTAACAGGTTTAAGTTAAATAATTATCTTTCTAATAATACCACCTGGTCAGGTGACTTTACTGAAGTATAGAACTGGTGCATTCCCAGTGTTATGTTTATAATTTATTTTACAATATAAAATTTGATAAAACACTTTATCATGTCTTCTAGATATCTCAAAGCGCTTCATAGAATATACTGTGGAGTCCTGTAGCTCAGTGGTTAGAGCACTTGCCTTGCAAGCGAGATACCTGGGTTCAATTCCAGGCAGAGGGCGAAACCTTGGGCAAGCTTCCTTACTCCACACGACTAATAATAATCCCTACAAAACAAAACAATAATAAATTGGTCGTTTTCAATCCACAACTGTTTGTGGGACACTGCTGTGTGCAATTGGCTGCCGCATTTCGCCCACAAAATATACAGTCAATTCACTTTACAGCATATTCTGTGAAGCGCTTTGAGACGTCCAGAAGACGTGAAAAGCGCTATATCAAATTCAAGGATTATTATTATTACTGTAAAGTGGATTGACTGTCTTCCTTGGGCAAAATGATTTGCAAAATGTCATATAAATCTTGATTGAATAGCATAATTTGGAGATTAATCTTTTTGGAAGCCTATATCTTGAGGCAGTGAGTTTGGCAGGATTTTGATTTACTCTGTTACAATATAAACGTAGAAAATGTCAATCGATTCTGGCTCTGTCTCAGTTCGACTTAAAATTTCATGGACAATCCAATTGCAAAAGACATTTTTTAAAAAAGTAGAATTTGAGTATAGTTTGTTGGCAATTCAACAGTGAGCAATACTTCTGAAACTTTTTCTTAATATCCGTTGGCCATTCCAAATAGTAGAGAGCAGCATAAATCGGGGTCCCACTCCACATCACTCTACTACTGGAAATGATACACTGCTCTATTTTCAGCAGTAGAGAGCAGTATATCAGCAATAGGCTTATAAAATGTCAGAACATCAACTGCCTTGAGCAACCCTACGTGGTTGGCTTCTTCCCATTGTCCCTTAAAATTCTGCAGTCACTGAAGTCTCTTGATTTCATAACATGATTATGATTGATTTTGGACAAATTTTTCAGGATTTAAAATATTTAAATAACTCAATAGAATACTTGAATCATGCAGAACTGTTGCCCATAGTATGAAATTGTACTTTGAGCATTTACTCTTGAAATATTTCCAGATGTTAATCAGCTTTGTGATTATGATAAAGGAACCATTTTTTGAAGGAAGGAGTTCTCTTCGGAAGGGGGTACATCTTGTGTACCTATCTATAGTCTACTGTGTGTCAATCTGGCTCAATTTGCAGCAGGCGTTTGAGCCAGAAAGTTGTGGTTTCAAGCCCCACAATAAGACTGTTTATAGGTTCAGCTGACACTCTAGTGTAGTGCTGGAGGTGTGTTGCAATGCTACTATACTGCAGCGATGGCTTCAGGTGAGACATTAAACTGAGTGTTCTGTCTGCTTGACTGGTGGATGTTAAAGATTTCATGGCACTATTCGAAAAGAGAGGGGATATTCTCCTAGTGTCACAGCCAATAATCCTTCAAATAAAATTGGTTGTTCAATTCACGGCTGTTTGAGGGACTTCGCTACGGCAAATTGGCTGCCACGTTCGCCAACAAAATATAGTCACTACACTTTACAGTATATCCTGTGAAGCACTTTGAGGCATCCTACTAACGTGAATATATCAAATGTAAGGATTAGTATTATAGTTATGCTACTCCAATGGTGCTATTTTTCCATAATGGATTTTGACAAACCTGACTTTCAAGATCCAGCTTTGCTTTGTTTAGTTCAGTCGTTCACACTCTCATCTCTGGGTCAGAAGATTATGGGTTCAAGCCCCATGTCAGAGCTTGATCACATCATCTATACAGTACTGGGGAGTGCAGTATTGTCGGAAGCCAACAACAACAACTTGGATTTATATAGTGCCCTCCACGCTGGATGGCGTCTCGGAACATTTCACAGTAATCGATCCCGGGGCCGAGCCAGGGGGAGGGGGAGAAAGGTGACCAAAGGCACGGTCGAAAACAAAGGTCTTCAGCAGAGACCTGAAAATAGGAAGAGAGGGGGCGAGGCAAAGGGAGTGAGGAAGGGAGTTCCGGGGCATAGTGGATGAAGGCATGGCTGTCTTGGGTGGAGCGGAGGATTTGGGGTACAAGGAGGAGACCAGACCCAGAGGAACGAAGGCAGGTCTTTCTAAAGGAATGACATATATAATCCTTGCATTTATAATCCTTGCATTTGATATAGCGCTTTTCACGTCGGAAGGACGTCCCAAAGCGCTTCACAGAACACACTGTAAAGTGAATTGACTGTAAATTTGTGGGCGAACGCGGCAGCCAATTGCGCACAGCAATGTCCCACAAACAGTCGTAGATTGAAAATGCCAATTTTATTATTGTTTTGGGTTTTGGAGGGATTATTATTAGGCTCTGTGTGGAGTAAGGAAACTTGCCCAAGGTTTCGCCCTCTGCCTGGAATTGAACTCAGGTCTCTCACTTGCAAAGCGAGTGCTCTAACCACTGAGCTACAGGACTCTACGAATGTTGAACCGAGCTCTGTCTGCCTGTTAAGGTGAATGTTAAAGATCCCATGACACTATTCAAAGAAAGGAACTAAATTTCTGACTATGTTCTTGCCAACAATCTTTCAGATTAATTGGTCATTCAATTCATCACCTTGCATTTTACAAATAGCTGCAATACTTGCCTACATCAACAGTCCTACACAAGTAACTGCTTTGAGATATTTACAACAACAACAACAAGATTCCATTTATAGAGCGCCTTTCACGTCGGGAGGATATTTAAACATAAGATGCTGTAAAATGTTATCAAATTATTTGTTTCTTTATGTTATGTTTTTATTCTACCTTTATTGACCTAAATTAAGAGTACAAAATATGAAGGCAGATCCGATCTTTTTAAAGTTGCTTTGCAGTAATGTAGGTCAGAGCTAAATGATATTTCAAATATTTCAAAAAATTGTACTATTTCAAAGAGCATCATTTTAATTATTTCGGGACATAATACAAGACTCTGCCTGACTGAGCCAGTAATGTGTAGCACTGAGCAATTAATTATATGCAATAGCATCAAGGTTTTAATTTATAATGTAGAATTTAATATACATATTTTTGCCCAAAGATAAAATCTTTAACAGGGTTTTGTGTTCAAAACAGAACTATTTGCTTCTGAATAGATAAGAAAACCATGTTATTTTGTAAATGTTTTCTAAATATATAATAAATAAATGTTGAGTGTTTTATTAACGTGAGTTATAATGATGATCTGTGTATATTAATAATGCATATTATTCCAGGAATATATTCCTGTTACAGATTGTGATATTCTGTATTGTACATAGGTCTTCTCTTATAGATCCCTCCCGCTGTCCTGTTTCTTTCTGTAGTTTTTTCATGTGTCGTTGAGCTATATTTCTGGACTTGACTGTCTATCCTGTAATCTCACTCCATTTTCTTCTCCCTTTCATCCTGCTTGCTGGCTTTGATAACATGAATCAGTGCATGGTGGAAAGGGTATTAGGTTTACGGCTAATGAGGACGTTCTTCCTGACAAGGGTATGTCTGAGCCTAATGTTGCCCAGCTTTGACAACATTAGCTGAATGCAGGCTTGAAGAGAATAAGAGCACTCCCATTCTCATGGAAATACTCCAGAATGCCGTGCATCCTCTATATAATATCAATATTGCTTGTGATTCTAACAATTTTAGGTTTGAATGATTATGTAATTATGGACTAAGCCTTTTTTTAACAGTACATTAAATCCTCAGTCAAATGCTATATGTACGGTTATTGTTTAACCAAAATGTTGCACAAAGCATGTTTATGTTTGATATTGAATAACAGTTTAAAGGTGTGACTAAAAACTTACATTTATATAGTGCAAAGTGTTTTTGGCTTTGCTTTACTGTTTGTAACAAACAGTGGAGGTAGTGCAGGACAATTTGCATCAATGCAACTGCCTTTTCACTAAAATAAGTTACCATAAGATATTGGAAGCCTGTTAACTGTGTATTTTTACAAAGGGCTCTGGGCAATGGAGGTTCAGTTTATCAGGACAAAATACATTTTGTCACAACTAATTGGACTTCGGGTTCCAAAGCAACTTTGTTCCACATTATCAGTCCATGTTATTGGAATATGACAAGCATAACATTGTACTCAATGCATGTTTTCAAGCACAGGCGTAACCTCATCAGCCCACAAGATAAGATCTATGAGGTTCACTTAAGTGTTCACATTCCATGTAAGGGTTTAAAAGAACTTAAGACTGTTCAAGGTCCAGCAACTGCTGCAGAACAATCGGGAGTGCTAGAGTGATGCTCCAATAAAAGTTTATTTGATTTTTTTATGAGCAAAGAACATGATAAAATTTACATGAACAAAATGTTTAAAGTGGGAGACCTTACACAGTGGTTTTCCTGGCAGACAAATTTGCCAGACTAATAACTAGGCAATGTTTAACTTTTTAAGTGGGCAAATGAGAATTAAACCCATGGGGAAAAACAGCAATTAAAGACCAATCTTTATAATATTTTTCTTTGAGGTGTTGTTACTTGTTTTTGAGTGTCTTGATGTCATTGCATGAGATTGTCGGGTTCATCTCGGAATAAATGAGTCTAATTTCTCATTCTTTTCTCACTAGTTTAACAACTCTCCTATAATTTGTTTCTATTTACATCCACTTACTATAAATTGAAAATATTGCAGATGAGTTAGATCAAATACTTGTGTGATATGAACCCATCCTGTCTGTTTCATTTTTGATCAGCTGGGTTGACTTGTGAGGAAACCCATCACCATGCTTAAGCGTATCCAAGCCCAACTGAGTGTTCCACTTATGTTTTCCACCTACACATGGGAATTGAGTTCTCCACGATGTGATGGATTTTAACAAGCTAAAACTCCACAGTTTAACATTGAACGGTCTATCTGGCAAGATCTCCTGCTGATTGCCCAGCTTGGACCACCCTACCTATTAGGACCTTGTCTTGCAGATTAACAGCAGTTGAGTGAGAAATAATTCCTACTCCCTATGACTGGTGTGACCCTCCAAGTCGTGCTGCTAAACCAGTCTGGCTAATCTGACATTAGCAATGTTGTGGAGCACTGCAGATGACAGACCATCCATCCTGTTCATCGACATGAGTTGGAAGTTCAGATCTGTTTACTTGTATCCTTGTATCCAGTGGATCCAATCGATGTGCATAATTTATTCAAATGTAAATTTCATTAGACATATTATCTAGCAATAAAGTTGTCCTTTGTAAGTTGTAGGTAGTGTGGGAGCACAGCATCACAAAGATACTTTTAGCACATCTCTGTACTAATTCATTTGAGTTGCACCGTATTAATATTCAATTAAATTATAATGGCAAGAAAATATAATATAGTATTTACATGATTGTCATCACTTTTATTTGACATCTGCTGAGTAACCTAAAGCAACAGTAAATAAAAAATAGTAAATTGACCTGTTCATTTTCCTGTTTAACAGGATAAAAACTTATTTGGGTATATGCTGTTTCCTGTACAAATTGATGTCAAGGAAAAAAGCACATTCCAAACCTTTGTGGTTCCATTCGCCCATCTCATATAAGAGATGTTTACAACCTATAACTTTAGAGTTATCCATGGAGCTAAACTAGTATTGCTGCACAACTCAATTGTGACCTAATAAAATGTACATGTTCTTTATGTTAGACTTAGAGTAACTACTGTTTCACTTTCATTAATTTACCATGCTGAGTCAACAGCAAGTTCACATACAGTATTTACTGCAAAGAATAATTGGTCAAGTACTTCAAACCAGTAGCTGAATTTGCAAGGACTGTTATTTACTTTACAGTTCTTTTTAATTAGTGCAATTCCAGATAGCAAATTACAAAAGCAACAGAGGTTTAGCCTAAGGCCAACTGTAGGTAATCCTTGATCTTTTACAACATAACTGCTGTTAAAAGTTATTCTTTAACAGATTTTAAAAAATCTTCTGTCATTTGAAAGGAGGAACTCTTTTAAAAAAACTTTAAAATGAACTGGTTTATTAACCTACAAAACTCCCTTTTTTTCTGACCAACTGAACCTGTTGAGTGTCCAGATATTGTCTTGGTAAGGGACCATGTTTAAGTGCCTGCATTATTTATTGAAGGTAATATAATCACTACGGTCCCTGGGTATGCAGCCTGTGCTGGGGTTCATAGCTTGTGCATGTGGCTCATCAACTCGTACCATTGAGATCACTCCAACTTGAACCTAGGTTTACACGGCACCTTTAGGTTTCCAACAAATTGTACAAAACTTGATTGAATTTCTCCTAAATATTATTCTAAGAGAGATTTCAGTGTTTACATCTATTAATGAGTCTCACTGGCTTGATCTTTTATATTTTAATGCTTAGTTATATTCATGAAATTCTCATTGATGGTTTAAAATGATCGCTCGCTAATCGTACAATAGCTATTTAAATTTCTTGATTTGGGTCGTGGTGATCAACAACCCACGTCTTTTTTGTTTGCTGTTTGGTTCAAATCGCTGAACTATGCTGTAAACCTACAAGTGCAGCCGGTGTGGCCTTGTAACAGAGAATGATGGGCTCGACATTTAAAGGGGCTGTGTTAATGCATCGCATGGTGTGGTACCTAACCATATTGTCTAGAAATTTTCCAGGTTGAATCCCTCATCTCTGCTGAGTTCACAGTTTCTCTGGAATATCTCATAGCACTCTAAGCAATTTTACTCCCAATAGAAACCCAGTTGTGTTATCTCCAGCAGTGCCAAGGGGATTGTTACAGCACAGAGCTGGCCTATCAGTGTGATGAACGCTAGCTGTCTTGTGTATGTTTAACTGGTTTGGTTTATACTGGGTGCACTTCTGATGAAGGACAAGTACACAATCTTTAAATCAAAGATGCTGATGTTCATCTACTTCAAGACTGTCTTTAAATGCAAAATTTTCTTGAAATCTCATGATGTCTATAGAATTTTGGAACCTAATTTCTAGCCTTTACATTTGACTCCCCCACTCTTATCCTATAAGAACAAGTTCTGTGTAATTTACTAGGTAATTAATTAATAAAGCTTAATTTGAGGACACACAGATCACTTGATAAAGCGATAATTTTAATCACCTGTGCTTCTATTCTGCCCACGAGGCCATCTTTCTTTCTTAGATGTGAGCAGTGTATGAGCATGAACAAAGGTGTGGTGATGTTAAGCATGCTAACACTCTCCTCAGAATGTTTACTTGTAATTCAGAAGCATGAAAGATAATAGTGACACAGCCCTTTTACATTTGTAATGTGGTAGCTTGCAGTGTCATTGAGAGGCCTGTGCTTGCCTTAACAGTTGTAATTTGAGTGAGTGCATTCTGTATCTTCTGACTATGTTTTATTGTGAATCAGGCTCTGGTGTGGATGATCCAGTGGGTGAAGTATCAATACAGATTGATCTTTTCACACATCCAGGAACTGGAGAGCATAAGGTCACTGTGAAAGGTAAGGACAATGTCTACATCAGTGGTCTATCAATATTTGACAGAAACTTCCAACACAGATGTGGCCTGAAAACTTTTCAATCATTTTTATGCTGTTTTTAAACAGTTGACAAACTTAGAAAATAATTGCCTCCTCATAGGTCCATAAAGGTGTTTTTTATGTTGCACGTTATTAGATTCAACTTAAACTATTGTTTGTCTTTTTTAAATTTCTTAATTTTTAAAAAATTCCTGTCGTTCTTAAACTGAACAGGAAGGGTGTTCCATTAATAAACCACTTTGTTATAATGGGGAGATGATGGTTTAGTATTCGAGAAGGATGAGATGAAATGGTCGAAAGGCTGTCTTTTTTCCAACTTATCTGGTGTTCTTTTCATATTTACAAAGTATGTATAGCACGAAAACCTAGCCCAATTAGTTTGTGCCAGTGTTTACACTCCACACAAGTCTTACTCCCTCTCATACCCCACTATTCCCCTCTCCCTTATGCAAAGTTCTAACTTCCTCTTCAATACATCTATATTGTCTGATTCACCCACTGCTTTAGGCAGCAAATTCCACAATCTCACTACCCTCTGCGTGAAGTAGTTACATCTAAATTCTCTTTTAGATCCCCATTCATTATCTTATATTTGTGTTCACTGGTTACGGACTCCCCAATCCATGAAAACAACCTATTTATGTTATTTATGTTGACGTTTTCTGCTTTTATTGCTTTTAAATATGTTCTTTAATTTTTCTGTCTTGTTTGCTTTTGTTATCATCAGGCTTTAATATCCACACCTGGAACTTTTAAAATAATTGATATCCTCTCTGTTTTTTTACAAAAATCTTTTCTTTTTTCTGTTCATTGTGACAACATGATAAAGCGTTATATCAAATGCAAGGATTATTATTATATGTACAGTCTTAACTCTGAGGAGAACCCTGTAAGTAATCAGTCAACAACAACAACAACAACAACAAAATTCCATTTATAGAGCGCCTTTCACGTCAGGAGGACATAAGGCGCTGTACATTTGGGTCAGGACCCGAGCAGGGGGGAAATGGTCAGGGTGAGGGGAGGGAAGGGAGGGAGCGAGGAGGGGGTAGAGAGTCGAGAGGGGAGCCGAAGGCACGGTCAAAGAGAAAGGTCTTGAGACCGGCCTTGAAGGAGGAAAGGGAGGAAGCGGCGAAGGCACTGGGGGATAGAGTTCCAGAGCCTAGGGGCTGAGAGGCTGAAGGCCAAGCCACCGATGGTAGGGTGGTTGGGGCGGGCGATATGGAGCAGACTGCAGGCAGAGGAACGGAGGGTACAGGCAGGTAGGTAGGGGGATAGTAGGTCAGAGAGGTAGGAGGGTGCAAGGCTGTGAATAGCCTTGTAGGTGAGGATGAGGATCTTGAAATCGATCCTCTGGGGGATGGGGAGCCAGTGGAGGCGAGCGAGGGTGGGAGTGATGTGGTCCCGAAGCCTGGTGCGGGACAGTACACGAGCTGCAGAGTTCTGAATGACCTGCAGCTTGTGGTGGGAGGTGGCGGGAAGGCCGGCGAGGAGAGTTCCCATAGTCGTCACTTCAATGCAGTTCATAAAGAAAAGGTTTACTCAAGAATTCATGAAGTCCGCATATTATTAGATGAGACCAGGAACCTCAAGTTAGCATTAGTTTTTGGTGTGGAAAAAAATGTCTGTGTGATTAATTTTTATCATAATTTTTAAGCAAATTTCTGTAATAGACCATTTCGTGACAATTCACAACTACAGGTAAATTGGCTTGAAACCACTTCTCACAGGTTTGTTATGTGACTCTACAACAAAATGATTCGAGCTGTTGCCTATTACAATTAAGTTTAGCTTGCAACTGTCGATCATTTTTTCCCTTCCTGTTGCTGCTCATTGGATGCCTTAGCTCTTTTTTAACATAAAAGTATAACAAGATTGTGGTGTATATTTTGATTTTAAAAGTTATTAGACATTTAAAAATAAAACTATATTATATTTTGGGAGTTGGTATGAGATTTGTTAAAGTAATATATTCACTTTGATTGAGAGATGATTTATGTTTCTCAGTGGTAGCTGCTAATGACCTGAAATGGCACACGACTGGCATGTTTCGACCGTTTGTGGAGGTCACCATGATTGGACCACATCTTAGCGACAAGAAAAGGAAATTTACTACCAAGTCAAAAAGCAACAACTGGGCTCCAAAGTACAATGAAACCTTTCACTTGTGAGTAGCTGTTTTTCAATTCTTATAACTATTGTGCAAGGCAGATTACAGAAGCTTGGGCAGGGTAATTGAATGCACCTGTGAGCAGTACAATATATTACAGTACAGTATTTATTTTTGCCCAGTATATCTTGCAATCATTATTCAGTTGAATAATTTAAACAATATAGCACATATGGTAGACTTTGGAAGGGATGTCTTTTAATTGACTCCTCAGAGAGTTGTCTGTTTCGTCTATACCACAACCTCAGAGGGTAGAAACATTTCCTATTCATAAAAACCTAAGGTAGGAATTGTGAGAAACACGAAAAGGCTTGTTAGGTCCCATAATTCTTTGATTCTCAATCCCATCTTCTCACCATAATCTGTCAAATCCTCCTCTCTCCAGAAATTCATTTGATTTCCTCCATTTGAGCTGTCTGCTTGAATGGCCTTCTTTGATGATCTTTTCCACAAGTCTTTTGCTCGTTGTCCATTTAAAAAAAAACTGATTGATTTCCTTTCTTACACTAACTTTCTCATTTTTAACTTGGTCCTGTTATTTGTACACTTCACTCGTCAATAATTTGGCTATATCAAATTTGCCAATCCCATCCACAATTTTACACTAAAAATAATAGTTTGTGAATTTGATAGAGTGCCTTTCACCTCAGGAGTTTGTCTCAAAGTGCGTCACTTGATTTATTGTAGAGACTATATATTTTGTTGGTGAATGCTGGGGCCAATGTCTCATTGTGGCTGACCAGTTTTAGCTGGGGGGATTGTGGTCCATGACACTGAGACAAACTGTATTCTCTTTTCGATATGAGATCTTTAATGTCCACCTGAATAGGCAGACAGGGCTCAGTTTAACATGTGATTTGCAGTCCTGCCATACCTTTCTAACTCTGGCCTGTTATACATCTCTCAGCCCCTCCTGCCAACCATTAGCAAGCACATTTTCAGTCACTTAGCCTCACTTTCTGGACTCTCTCCTTGACTGACTTCAGTCACCTCTCATACCCCCCCTCCCCATCTGTGGAGTCCGTAGATTAGTGGTGAGTGCGCTCGCCTCGCAAGCAAGATCCGGGTTCAATTCCTGAACGGGGCAAAACCTTCGGCAAATTTCATTATTCTGATCGCTTTCTGCCAAAAATAATCCCTGCACAACCACCCCCACCCCCCCAACAAATGGTCGCTCAATCCACGACTGTTTGTTGGACACTGCTGAGCGCAATTGGCTGCTGTGTTTAACCCACAAAATACAAGTGTTTACACTTTACAAATTTTTATTTTCTTTTAAGTGCTGCAGGATGATATCCTGAGTGAAGGGTACTATATAAATGGAAGTTGTTTTTGTTGTACAATATATGCTGTGAAGAGCTTTGAGACATCTCAACGTGGGATAAGCCGCTATATCAAATGAAAGAATTATTATTATCTTTCATCCTGCTTAGGTCCCTACTCCATCTCTGTGAAGCATTCAGAGACATTTTCTTACGTGAAAGGTGCTATATTATTTTTTCTGTTTCAATGTGATTATAAATGAAAGGTCTATAATAAACAGAAATTGTGTTTTCTTTTTCCCCTTGCAGTATATTGGGCAATGAGGATGGGCCAGATACATATGAACTTCAGGTCTGCGTGAAGGATTACTGTTTTGCAAGAGAAGATCGTATTATTGGGATTTCTTTAATGCAGCTACGAGATATTGCAGACAAAGGCAGCTGTGCTTGCTGGTGCCCACTAGGCCGCAGAATCCACATGGATGAGACGGGACTCACCGTTCTTCGAATTCTTTCACAGAGAACCAACGACGAAGTCGCCAAAGAGTTTGTCAAACTGAAATCTGAGTCTCGATCTGTTGAAGAGGGCAGTTGAATTACAATACCATATAAAATTATTCGAACATTCTTTATTTCAGCGACATTAGTCACTGCATTTAGTTTTGTTTTCTAATTTATACCTCGTGCCAATATGTGCAAGTGTTCAACAAATTCACTTTGTAAACGGGCCCCTATTTTGTCTTTGTTAATAAGCATGTATTGTATACCAATCAAAGGATAGATCTTTATGTGAATATTTATTTACAAGTCATAGAAAATTAAAATAATGTTTAGATGGGGAAAAAGTTTATTGCTTAAAATAGGATGCTTACATTAATGTAAATAAATAATTTTATGATCTGGACTCGAGACCTGAGTCCTACAATATCTTTTTCACTGTAATTGAGCACTGTGATACCATCCTTCAGAGTGAGATGTGCAACTGGGAAAATGGTACAAATTTCTTACTCTAGTGCCTAGTGCCTCAGTTCTTCGTCTCTCTCCCATAGGATTGCCAAAGGATGTCTTTACACTGTTGTAGATAAAGTCATACATTCCAATTATAAGATGAAATATATGTACACTAAGATGTTTTTGCTAAGTGTACATTTCTATGTACAGCTAGATTCCTGTACAGGAGAAATTTGTGCTTACTTTCCTCTAGCTATACCAACGTCCAGCCTGAAACTCCCTATAGTTGCATTGCTGCTTTGTGAAACAAATTGATGTAGTTTTAGTGTGAGGTTTTTAGTTTGGATTTTTTTATTTAAAAAAGCAGTGTCTCTTTGTCAAAATATGCACTAGTTTTTTAAATAGTTTTGTGCTGCAATAAGTAAATAAGGGTAAGAAAGAAATGTTGACTAAATGTTTACTGTCCACTATTTTCTGGTTAGATTTCTGCTAAGTGTGTGTAACAGCTCAACTAAATTTGTTAATCTGGTATCATTCAGTGTCTTAAATGACTTCCAGAAACTTTCAGCTATATGGAATTACAACCTTTGGTGCTGAAAAGATCGGTGGTAAGAATTTGAAAAATCATGATAGAATGCGCACGTTTATACTACTTTGCAGTGCAGGATCTGGTGCTCTGCGTTAGCTCCCAACTGTGCTTCAAACCCATGACAAATCCATTGCTAAAAACGACTTTTACTGTCACCCTAACACTATCCTTTCCACTTTATTGCTGACAACTTCATTTTCGTCTGTCACACTGAGGTTAGACTTCTTTGAAAAGAAGTCCTCCAAGTTTTTACCAGCTTTCCCAGCTCTGCCCTCAATAAGCTCCCAAACATCATCCAAATCTGTGCAACCTTTGTACTCTCCTGCACTATGCGATACACACCCATTAATCCCATCCTCGCCATTCCTCTCTAATGACTCCCAGTACTCCAGAGGATTAATTTTCCTTCAGATCCTTTCACAATCTTGCCCTTCCTTACAAAATGCAGCCAGAATCAGAGCAGGGGATATAGATAGGTTCTGTTCTTTCTGTGCCTCCACTTCTCCAATTCTGGTCTGTTGCTTGTTCCTACCATTGGAGGTTGAGCCTTTTGCCATGATGTCCCTGCCCTCCAGAACTCTCTTCAAAAACCTCTTTGCCTAGCTGCCTCTCTGCTGCCTTTCAAGCCAAGCCTAAAATATGACTGAACTTTTGGTCAACATCCTTAATTCTCCCTTCCTCTCTATCATATTTTTGAAACATTTTGAGATGTTTATTTTAAGTGAAAGGCGTAACAGAACAAGTTAAGGCAAGTGTAATTGCTCTCTTATTGAACTTCAGGCAGGAGTGCATGATATGCTGGCCTTGCATTTTTAATGATTTTTCAAATTACTTGTGTATAAAATAATTTAAGTCCAACTCACATGCATGATTTTGGTATGATTTCATACAGGAAAGATTTCTATTATGCATATAATCTCTTACACATGTTAGCTGGGCATTACTTATTTCTGAAACAATGAATTTTGGAATTGTTGGTATTTTACGTGCCATATTTCAAAATAAAAAAATCACAAACTATAATAAACTCTCTTGGCAAAGCACACAATTTTTTTTACTGTAGATAATTCATAAATGCTTAAGTTATTTTCTCTAAATCTATTTGATTGATGTGTGACTCCATCCTAAGGTTCACAATTCCATAGGAATTTGGAGTAGGGGACGGCCATTGAGCCCACCAAGTCTGGATTGTCACAGACCACTTCTTGGCATTACCCACACCTCTCCCACTTCCCTGATTTCTTGTTGTATCTTTAACATTTCTACTTTCAGTGTATCAATCTCTTCCTTGAACCGAGGCAGGTTAATTGATAAAAACTAATCTGGACTTTGCACTTTGCTCTCTGACATGCCGAGTACTCTTATATTATCAGTTCCTGTTTTCCTCATCATTGAACTTTGTTTTGTGTGTGAAGAATGTGAATCAGAGCAGTTGCACAGTGATTGAAAATGCCATGTTAGGAATTCTGCTCTTTTGTTCATTTTTTCTCAATGCTCTGTAATATTCAATTGTGTAGTCTCAACACTTATTTTCAAGCATTTTTATTCCAGAATTTTGATCTTGAAATATTTTTTCCTATTGTAGATTGAGAATTAATGAGTTTGTATTTTTAGTGTAATACACTGTTTACTGCATATAGAATTTCCTGGTAATTAAGTCCAAAATATTTATTGATAAATTTGAAGTAACTGTTATAATTTTTAATTGTTAAATATGAATATTTGTGACACAGCTGATCAGGAAAAAAATCAACCATGACATTAGCAGGATATTAAAGTAACCCAAGCCAACTCATCCAAAACTCTGTAATCATTTCCAGAAGGTACAAAATGAGGAATATTAATTCCATGTTCATGTTTATTGAAACTACTAAAGAATTGCAGCAACCGGTTAATCTGTTCACATCAGATTTTGGAGTCAAAGCTCACAGTTTATCTTCGGAGCTGGCTGGCATTGTTGAAGGAACAAGTTTTCTTGTTTGTCTGAAATGTTAAACTGAGGTCCTGTCTGTCCCATTTAAATGGATTTTAAAGATCCTATGGCCCTTTTCGAAGAGAAAGGAGTTTCTCTGGATTTCCTGGCCAACAAGCCCCCAAATAAAATTGGTTACTCATTTAATGGCTGTTTTGCTGTGCAGAAATTGGCAGTTATGTTTGCCTATATTTACATAGTCACTGCACTTTACATTATATTCTGTGAAACGTGTTGAGTTATCTTAACAATATAAGGCGCTCTATAAAATGCGATTATCATTGCTTCTAGCTAGAATGCATTCTTCTCCCGTTTATGATTTGTAAATTGTTAGTGAGATTAAGTGTTAAGGAAATGCAACACTTTCCCAAGGTTGAATAGACACAAGGCAGCCCTTGTTATTAACCCAGCACGGATTGTCAGGTCATCCTGATCCAATCACAATGTAATTCCCATAGTAACTTTAGAGTTGCTTTATTGAGGGTACCAGTCTTTTTCATTTTTGCGTCCTTTGATTGACAATGACTACGGAACAGATCTATAGTGAGCATTAAATCATCTTGCTTTATATTGGCACTAAACTAGAGCACCAACAAATCAATATAACTCAGATTAATGGTATGGAACCTTAATCTCTCTGTAGGATATAAGGTGCTACAATCAATGAGTTAGGGAAATTTTAATTCAGTTTCTACTGCCTTCGATTTGGCACAAATTCACATCTAGGTAGAGGTATATGTATGTAGTTTATGGCATAAATCAAGAAATATTCAGTTAAACAATATTTATTTTGTTGGCCAACCAAAAGATTAAAAATACTGAACTCAGCACAAGGAGGAAAATGATGAATGGCTTTAAGCACAAAGGAACACAGTAACAGTTTAATGAAGAAACATACCATTGGTCTATTGAACCAATTAATCCAACTTCCAAAAAGATCATTAATCTCTTTATCCATTAACCTTGATTTTATAAAAATATTTCAGGTCCTTATTTATTTATTTTTTCCACCACTCGTGTTGATAGTTTGTTCCATATACCTACTGCCCTTTAACACAAAAATAATAATAATAATAATAATCCTTGCATTTGATATAGCGCTTTTCACGTCGGGAGGACGGCCCAAAGCACTTCACAGAACACACCGTAAAGTGAATTGACTGTATATATGTGGGCGAACGGGGCAGCCAATTGCGCACAGCAATGTCCCACAAACAGTCATCGATTGAAAATGACCCAATTTATTATTGTTTTTGGTTTTGGAGGGATTATTATTAGGCTCTGTGTGGAGTAAGGAAACTTGCCCAAGGTTTCGCCCTCTGCCTGGAATTGAACTCAGGTCTCTCGCTTGCAAAGCGAGTGCTCTAACCACTGAGCTACAGGACTCCAAAATAATTCTCTTGCTTTCTGAACTTTGCACATGGCCAAAAATGATAACTGATGTAGGGTCACCAACGCTAGATATAGTTTTGAAATAGACTCAACTTGTACATAGCACCCTCAGGAAAATATCCTTACATTCTGTTCACTTTCTTAATTCTCTGCGACATTGACTCCAATCCAAATACCCCTCCATGCACCACTGACGACTCCATGCTTTCTAAGATTTAGCTTAGCTTTCATTTTATTTTACATAACATGATAGACCAGTCTCTTTACTCTAAGCTCCCTCTTTCTGGTCTCGTAATTCCCTTATATGAGAACTGCCATTAGTTACTACATCTGCAATACTTTAGAAAAGTAAATAACTGATTCCAGTCGCAGCCTAACCAGAGCATTGTATAGCTTGACTATGACATCTGCAGATCTGAACTCGATTGATTTGGGAGATAAGGCCAGCATCCTGTTTGCTTTATTTATTACTGTCTCACACTATCAATATAGAACTAATCAAGCACATCCATCTTCCTCTGCAATTTTTACCTGCTTAAACATGTTCTTTAATTGCTTCTATTTATTAACTATGGTTGCTATGACTATTATCAGGGAAAATAGATGGTAGAAACTGGCTGTGGTATAATTAAAGAGTTAGACAATAACAGGGAAGAGTTTAAAGTTATACATTAATTTCATGGTTATACATTAATTTCACGGTTATACATTAATTTCATGGTTACAAACTAAAGTATTGCAGGTGTGGTGCAAAGGCAATCGTTTCAAACATGGGCTTTGATATGATTCAGTATGTGGGTTGACATGGAGAAAGGATTCATTGAACTTCTTTAGAAATATTGTTGTGTAGTAAATTGAACATCAAATGAATACAACTTTTGTATTTAAATAATGGCATTTATAGTACTTGAGTACTTCAATTAAACGGAATGACTGCATTACTATTATTTTGAACCTTATACAGCATTTTACCTCCCTCTGTCAAGAATTATTTCTTTTGAGTTTAAACCTGGGAGTCAAAAGCCAGTTGTGCTGTTTTGAATCTTTCTTCTACACTAAAGATTGCAGCTTCCAGGAGTTTCTCCCAGTGTCCTGGCCAACAATCTCCCAAATAAGACTGGCCATTCAATTCATGGTTATTTGTGGCACAATACTGTGCACAAATTAGCTGCCGTGTTCACCTACAAAATATAATGAGTGAGCTTCACGTTATATCTTGTGAAGCACTTTGAGCATTCTTCTAATGTGCTAGAATTATTATTATTCCTGCAGAATTTGTTTTGAACAACTGGGTGTCTTGACACATGCAGAATCCAATCACCATGCTTCAGAGTATCCAAACGCCTCCATAAATCTCATCAACACATGGAAATTCCCATTTACTGTATCGGAATGGAGTGCGCACCCTCTCCTTGGAGCGATGCATCCCGCTTAAGTAATTCCGAGAGGGTGAGGCTCAGGCAGGCTTGGGGACCCCAGAGTGTGCGTTGCTGCAATCTAACTAGATAAAACTGCATAGCTTGCCATTGAATGCACCTCATGGCAAGCTTTCCCGCTCTTGTCCACCGAGGACCACCTTACTTGGGGCTTTGGGCTTGCAGGATTAATAGGAGCTGAATGGGAAGAATCCCTTCCCCTCGTAACTGATCTGTTATTCCAAGTCCTACAAGATTCTTTGGGCCTACGCTCTTGAATTGGATGAAGCAGGACGTGTGTCCCTCTGCGGAGCCATTCCAATACACAAGCACGTCCAGGTGTTATAATAATAATAATAATCCTTGCATTTGATATAGCGCTTTTCACGTCGGGAGGACGTCCCAAAGCGCTTCACAGAACACACTGTAAAGTGAATTGACTGTATATTTGTGGGTGAACGTAGCAGCCAATTGTGCACAGCAATGTCCCACAAACAGTCGTAGATTGAAAATGACCAATTTATTATTGTTTTTGGTTTTGGAGGGATTATTATTAGGCTCTGTGTGGAGTAAGGAAACTTGCCCAAGGTTTGGCCCTGACCTGCCTGGAATTGAACTCAGGTCTCTCACTTGCAAAGCGTACGTCCAATGGAGGTCAAAACTCCAGGTCAACGCGTCACCACAACATCGCCTCTCGGTGACCTTTCTGGCTTCCACTTGGCTCTGCGAAGCTCTCTCGCGTCCCGTTCCCCTCACCACCGCCACCACCACCGCCACCACCACCGCCACCACCACCTTACCCCTCCCCAAATTAAGGGCAACAACAATTTACCATCGAACAGCGTCTTTCTCGCCTCAAAGGGAACGAAGCCGCCATTTTATACCCTGCGTTAAAGAATCAAATGAAACCTTAATCCCTAAGAAAGTAATAAACGATAGCGTTATTATTATAAAGTGAATTAAAACTATTCCCTCCCCCAAAGGAAACAACGCCGGGTTTGAGCTTCTCCCCACGGCCCAACAGGCGCCAGACATTACAATCCGTTCGTAGCCCAAAGGCAACCGAATACCAGCCCACAAGTAGCCCAATATATCGATAGCCGAGAGCGCCCAATTCAGTTCAATGTTTTTGAAACCCGTGTGAGGAAAAGGTTTTCAAAGGGAGGGGGGGGGGGGGGGGACGTTTTTTTTTCGGGTTGGAATAAAAATTAGCCCTTTTTTTGTTGTACGCGCGACACGACGACAACAACAACAACAACAACAACCCGCCCAATGGGGCGTCAAACCCGCCCAATCAGACAACGGCCCGGGGCTCAGTTAACTCCACGCGGAGCGGTGGCTTCTCCGGGTGAAGCTGACCTGAGGCGGGGCTGAGCCGGAGTGGGCGGGGCTGAGCCGGAGTGGGCGGGGCTGAGCCGGAGCGGGCGGGGCTGAGCCGGAGTGGGCGGGGCTAAGACGGAGCGGGCGGGGCTGAGACGGAGTGGGCGGGGCTGAGCCGGAGCGGGCGGGGCTGAGCCAGAGTGGGCGGGGCTGAGCTGGGCAGTGGGCGGGGCTGAGCCGGAGTGGGCGGGGCTGAGCCGGCGGGGCTGAGACGGAGTGGGCGGGGCTGAGTCGGAGCTGGGCAATGGGCGGAGCTGAGCCGGAGTGGGCGGCCGGAGTGGGCGGGCTGAGTCGGAGCCTGGGCAGTGGGCGGGGCTGAGCTGGGCAGTGGGCGGGGCTGAGCCGGAGCTGGGCAGTGGGCGGGGCTGAACTGGGCAGTGGGCGGGGCGTCAGGCGCGAGCTTGGCGCCCTTTTGGTTTGAACGCCGTCTCATTGTCCTCAGCGCTCGAGTCCGTTTGTGGCAGAGTGCCGGCGGCCCCGCCCCGCCCGAGAGAGAGAGAGAGAGGACCCCAGGCCCACACCTACCGCACCAGCCCCCAACACACAGCCAGGGGGGGGGAGGCCCAGACCAGCCCCCAACACACAGCCAGGGGGGGGGGGAGGCCCAGACCAGCCCCCAACACACAGCCAGGAGGGGGGGGGAGGCCCAGACCAGCCCCCAACACACAGCCAGGAGGGGGGGGGGGAGCCCAGACCAGCCCCCAACACACAGCCAGGAGGGGGGAGGCCCACACCAGCCCCCAACACACAGCCAGGAGGGGGGGGGAGGCCCACACCAGCCCCCAACACACAGCCAAGAGGGGGGGGGGAGGCCCACACCAGCCCCCAACACACAGCCAGGGGGGGGGGAGGCCCACACCAGCCCCCAACACACAGCCGGAGGGGGGGGGAGGGGGGGAGGAGACACACGACTCAAACCCGTCAAAGTGTTCACTTCAAATCACTGGGAAGCCGAGTGAGCGCTGCCCCCCACCCGAACACACACACATACAGGTGTTGTTATCAGTTTGATTTGGTGATAGACACCTGTGGGCTTGAATGTTTGTGGCGTCGCCGCCAAGATTGTTGTGGGCCCCGCGTCTGCGCCAGCCTCGCCGGCGGGGAGGAGGTCCGGCTTGCGTTCAGCGTGGCCCCGCGATGGCACAGGTGAGATGTGGGGTTAAGGGTGAGGCCAGGAGGGAAGTGCTGGTTTGGAGGGTGTGGAGTTGTAGACCCGCGACTCCGCTCACCGTGAAGCGCCAACGCACAGGTTACCCCCCGAGTCAGAAGGTTGAAGTCATGGTCTAGACTGGCGCTGCAGTGCAGTGCTGCCCACTGCCTACCGGGCACTTTGCACTGTCTATGAGGTGCCGTCCTTGGCATGAGAAGTTAAACCAAAGTGACATCTGCCTGTCCAGGGGGATCTTAAAGATCTGGTGGTGCTACTCAACCGTGTCCTTGGCCAAACATCCCCCATATAAAATTGTTCATTCACTTTGTGGCTGTTTGTGGGACATTGCTCTACGCAAATTGGCTGGTGTGTTTGCCAAAACAATACACAGTTACTACACTTTACGGTATTTCCTGTGAAGCATTTTGAGACCTGACGTGAAAGATGCTGTGCCAAATTACATATACTGAATTCATGTGGAATAGGCCAATTTGTTTTTTTGCCTTCTTGGTACAATATATGATGGTGGTGTGGCTTTTGATGACCAATTTTCATTCAGGGAAAGGAGTTCCTCCTGGAGTCCGAACCAACAGTTCCACCCAAATAAAATGAGCACTAACTTTCTGCAGCTTAATATGCAGAAGACAGAAGCCATCCTTCTAGGTTCCTGCGAGCATTTCCATACCTCTGGCTCCAATCTCCTCAACCTCCCATTCCTATCAAATTCACTGAACTAGTGCACACCCCAGCATCTGGATTGATCTGCAGCTACTCTTCCTTCCCCAAGACCAAGGCTGCTTTTCTCCATCGCCACCATCTTGGTTGCCTTTGACTATTTTTTGGGGGGGTTCAGCCGGGTGTCTGACGCATGAAGAAGCCAATCGCCATGCTTAAGAGTATCCAAACCAAGCTGAGATTTCCATGCATCCCCCCGACACATGGAAATCCCAGAGATAGATTGTTGGAATGGAATGCTCACTCTCTCCCTGGAGGGACAGATCCTGCTTACCTAATTCCGGAAAGTATTAGGCGCAGGTTGGCAAGAGCCAAGGCTTGGGGACACCAGAGTGTGCGTAGGGGTAATATTGGAGTCTAACCAGCTAAAACTGCATAGCCTGCAATATCATTGATATTGCTGTCCAGGAAGCTTTCCCACTGCTTGTCCAGCGAGGACCGCCCTACCCGCTAGAGCTTTGGCTTGCAGGGTTAATAGGAGCTGCGTGGGATGACTCCCTGGCCCAGTGACTGGTCTGCTCTTCCGGGTCCTGCTGATGAGCCAGGCTGGCAGCGCTGTCATCAGCCGTGCCTTGGAATACTGTGGACCCGTCTGGCTCAGGAACCAGACTACCGAGACCGCCCGCCACAGAGAGCTCAACTCCGACATTTCATTGCCAGGCATGTCACCTTGGTACCAGTTCAGCTCCAAGAATACCCTGCTTACCTCACCCCAAGAAGGATTTTGAGCCCTTATTAAGTACAAGGAACTCCATGTGAGCTTTGCGGTTGGTAACACATCTCAGCATGAAAGTGAGAGCATTGCCACCCTTCCTGTCCGCAGTTTAGGCACCTGTCCCTTCTCATTGACCGATGGTTCAACCAATTGGACGTACGCTTTGCAAGTGAGAGACCTGAGTTCAATTCCAGACAGGGCGAAACCTTGGGCAAGTTTCCTTACTCCACACGCCTAATAATAATCCCTCCAAAAACCAAAAACAATAATAAATTGGTTATTTTCAATCTACGACTGTTTGTGGGACATTGCTGTGCGCAATTGGCTGCCGCGTTTGCCCACAAATATACAGTCAATTCACTTTACAGTGTGTTCTGTGAAGCGCTTTGGGACGTCCTCCTGACGTGAAAAGCGCTATATCAAATGCAAGGATTATTATTATTATTATTAAGCAGCAGCTGCTTGCTCTGCAGGCCAATCAGGTTGGATTCTAGGTGTTGGACATACGAACGTATGTTCACATATCTGGAGGGCATCTGACTTAGTGTGATGGGAGGACCTTTACAGGATAGCTTGTGACGTGATAGGTACCTTGATCTTCTTGAAGTCCAAGCCCAATACCATGTACCAGGCTTACTCAGCATCAGTTGCTCAATCCAAGTCCTCATGCGAGGGGCCTTGGCAAACAGATGTGCCCGCTGAGAAGCCGCCTCCGCCTCCAGGGTAGCGACAGGTCAGTGTAAGCCGGAGCCCTCCCTCCCTGTAGCTACTTCCTGTGTTTACCACAAATCCACTTCACTGCTTACCCTGGACTTTGCAGATAGGTCGGAGGAAGTTAAGACTGAATTCAATAATTTGGCAAATTGTACATTCTCTAAGATGCTTTTTAGATTAAATCAAGATACCCGAACAGTTTATTTACAAAGAAGTATATATTTTACGATTCACATAGTATGATGCACGTAAGGATACGGGCAGCACAGAACTGTGCATCCTTTGGAGCTCAGATCCATAAAGGAGGTTTGTTTGCACACAGGTCTTGTATGCCACAAGCTTGACCTGCACTGGGACCTTGCTGTCTTGCCTCCGAATCTACTGTTGGAGCCCTCATCTACCTTGATTTCTTAAACACACTTCTTTCGCCCACAAATATACAGTCAATTCACTTTACAGTGTGTTCTGTGAAGTGCTTTGGGACGTCCTCCCGACATGAAAAGCGCTATATCAAATGCAAGGATTATTATTATTATTATTATTTCTGGTCCCTAGTTCCACCATCCACAAGGTTTAACTAACATAGAACTGTGTGGCCCAGGTATCATGATTTAATCTAATTTAATCATCTTAGAGAATGTACAATTTGCCAAATTGTTGAATTCAGTCTTAACTTCAAATGTGGTTTTCTGTTCTTAAAAAAAAATTAAAAGAACTTACAAAAAATTGGCTTAAAAACTAAGACTGTATTTAAGAATTTGACAAATGCTACAAACTGAATAGATTAAACTAAATAGATCCAGGTGAATTTCTCCCCATATTAATTGAGTGGAAAGTTGCATTTGCATTCTATGTGTTATTACTGTCTGTTTGTCCACTTACAATTGTTTATTGTTGCTAGAGTCTGATCCTAATTTTTCTTTTTACAACAATGTGATATGCTTCATATTTCTTTATAAATTCTTAAACAATTACAAAACCACTATTTGATATTTTAGAAGTAAATTTTCTTTTGCAACTATAATTTATCAGCAGTTTTGCCTTCTGTACCAACTATTGGTCTAGTTTTGTTCTCAGCATTGTTTTTATATGGTACAATATTAACAATTGTAGTGCCAGAATTTAATTGATTTGATTGTAGTTTTTGATCAGTTAGAATTGTGTCCTGTAAATTGTGGAATAGTGCACAAATTGCATTCTGCTTGGGCTCCCAGTAGACTATGAAACGCTTTGGGGCGTTCTCCCACTATATAAATGTAAATTTGTATTGTATTCTTTCCAACGTTCAGCATTGGTGGACTGACTAAACTTAGCAGTTATTGAACAAATGTTTTTTCAGGTGTTTGCACACCTGATATAATGGGCAAACAGGTCCAACGATCAATTACTTTATTTGCTGAGTGCTAGCTTGTACCATGTTCCACCCACCTCGTCATTAACATTGCTTTGTGTACCTACCAGCCAATAGTTCAAACGCAGCCTTTCAACTACCTGAATATATATGTATATTATTCCTATTTCCATTTGAGAACATAGCTTACAAATTAAACCAACATTTGATGAAAATTTATTAGAATATGGACATACAGTACTTGATTGTTAGTGTTTGGTGGCAGTAACAGACGACATAGTTTGCATTATTAAGGTTTGGAGTTATTAAGCATTCTTCCTCTTCTTTGAACTACCACTGAGTAAGGTACAAGCTGCAAAATACAATTGGGATTGATGTGAAGGTAAGGAAATTATTTTTCTTTTTTTTTAATATTAAGCTGCCAGGTTGGTAGAGATGTTACTTTCAATATAATTGAAGACAACCATCAAAATACCTTGTGTTTTTCAAACAATCGTCAATGCCACACTGATTAATTGGTTTTGACATTTTTAAAAATAGCATCAAGTGCAAATTGTTATGGGGTTCTATTCAGTTGGTACATTGATTTCTTTCAATTTCCCTCATGTACCCTACCCATCCTGTGGAGTCCCATAGTGTCGTGGTTAGTGCGCTCTACTCGCAAACAAGAGGACTCAAGTTCGATTCCTGGGCAGAGCAAAATCTTAGGCATGTTTCCTTACTCCACACACCTGTTTACCTAGTAGTAAGTAAGAACCCGATCGTTAAGTGATTGGAGGTTCGCTTTCCAGAGTCCCTCCAAAAAAAAATCTTGGTCACTCAATCCACCACTGTTTGTGGAACTCTGCTGTGTGCAATTGGCTGCCATGTTTCACCCTCAAAGTATACAGTCAACTCTGCAATATATTCTGTGAAACGCTTTGAGGCATCTCAATGACGTGATAAGACGCAATATCAAATGCAAGTATTATTATATTAATAAAAGATGCCATCACAAAGTACCCCCTGCCTGGGAATCGAACCCAGGTCCTCTCGCTTGTGAGGCGAGTACTCTAACCACTAAACTACAGGATTCCAAACTTAGAAAGACGACATAGACTGCTGAACAACAACTTTTACTTATATGGTGTCCTTAAAGTAAAGTAGTACTTTATCTTTTGTTGCGTCTCCTCGTAAGACATGTGCAGGAAATACCGCTGACATTGTTTTGCAGTAAGCAGGACGTGAGATCAGCGGGATCTACCAAGAAATCTGCCTTTTCTTGTCTTTGTTTAAATCCAGTGTGTGTGGGGAGCGGGGGGAGTGGGGGTCTGCCCTTATAGACCCAGACAACCATGTCATAATGAGGTTGACTAAATTTTACTTTTGGTAAAGAAAGAATTTGCAAAGTTAGAAGCACAGTGGAGTCCCGTAGCGTAGTGGTTAGAGCGCTCGCCTTGCAAGCGAGGACCCGCGTTCAATTTCACTTGATTCCCGGGTAGGGCGAAACCTCAGGCAAATTTCCTTACTCCACACGCCTCTGTTTACCTAACAGTTAGTAGGAACCCGCTTGTTAATTGATTGTCGCATCGCTTTCCGGGAGTAATGACAACAAATTACACTNCCCCCCCCCCGGGAAGTGCAGGGGACCTGAAGCAGGCACCGGTGTCTGACGAAAGGAGGGAGCGGACAGGCTGATATGGGTTATGAGGTTGGAGAGGTAGAGGAGCAAAACCGTGGAGGGCCTTGAAGGGAAGAACGAGGGTTTTGTGCTCAATTCTTTGAGGAATGGGGAGCCAGTGAAGCCGGGCAAGAACGGGGGTGATAGGTTCCCGAAGCCTGGTGCGGGAGAGGGTTCTGAATAATCTAATAATCTAATAATCCCTACACACACACACACACACAAAAACTTAATCCACAACTGTTCGTGGGATACTGCTGTGTGCAATTGTCAACTTTATGTAGCGCCCTTCTTGCAGGTAACAACTTGGAGCAGTTAACCTTGACAGACTGCTGAAACCCTCATACACACCTTCATTATATTGAGGCTGGACTATGCAAACACACTGCTTGTCGGCCTCTCTAACTCCTCCCTCCATAGGCTGCAGCTCATCCAGAACTCTGCAGCCTGTGTCCTCTCCCACACCAGGCTCTGCAACCCATCACCCCCATCCTCCATTGGCTTCCTGTCACACAGAGAATACGGTTCAAGATGCTGGTCCTCACCTTCAAAGCCCTCCACGGCCTTGCTCTCTCCTACCTCTGTGACCTTCTAACCCTAACCCAACCTGCCCACTTTCTCTGCTCAGCGGGCTCCGGCCTGCTCCACGTCCCCAGTCTAGCCCGCCCCACCATTGGTGGGCGGTCCTTCTGACACTCTGCCCACACCCTCTGGAACTTGCAGTCCATCCACCTCGCCCCCTCGCCTCCTTAAAGACCTTTCTCAAGACCCTCCTCATCGACTGTGCATTCGGTCACCCTCATTCCACCCCCCCCTCCCCCCACCCGCTCTCCACCCTCCCCGATGCTGACCCCCAGCTCGGTTCTGAAACACTGATTGTCCAGCGCCTTGGGACATCCTTCCGAAGTGAAAGCCGCAAAACAAATGTAATTTTGTTGTTGTTGTAATCATACAGTATAAGTGAGGCTGAGATTCAAGATAAACTCAAGGAGCTTCAAATCATCAAATCAACTGCAACAACAACAACAACTTGTATTTATATAGCGCCCTCCACGCCGGACGGCGTCTCAGAGTGCTTTACAGTAACGGATCCTGGCGCCGAGCCAGGGGGAGGGGGAGGAAGGTGACCAAAGGCGCGGTTGGAAAGAAAGGTCTTCAGCAGAGACCTGAAAATAGGAAGGGAGGGAGTGAGATGAAGGGAGTGAGGAAGGCAGTTCCAGAGCCTCAGGGCATAGTGACTGAAGGCACGGCCGCGGAGGGTGGAGCGGAGGACTCGGGGAACGAGGAGGAGGCCAGACCCGGAGGAACGAAGCAACGGGTACTGTTTTGAGGAGAGAGGAGGTCAGAGAGGTCGGGGGGTGCAGAGGAGTGGAGAGATTTGAATACAAGGGTGAGGATCTTGAAGTCAATCCTCTCTGGGACAGGCAGCCAGTGCAGTCTGGCAAGGACTGGGGTGATCGGGGAGCGGAGTTTGGTGCGTGTGAGAATGCGGGCGGCAGAGTTTTATGGATGATAGTGGATGGGAGACCAGCGAGGAGGGCATTAGAATAATCCATCTGAGAGGTGACAAAGGCATGGACTAGGGTTTCAGCGGCTTTCAGAGAGGTATTTGCGGAGGGGGGCGATGCGTCGGAGGTGGAAGAAAGCGGTGCTGGTGAGGGACCGGATGTGGGGAGGAAGAATAATTGGGGGTTGAACCTGATGCCTAGATTGCGTACAGGTTCGGAGAGTTTTAGAGGAAGGTCAGGTAGGTGGAGGAGGTGAGACCCGTGAGATTTTAGATGTTGACGAGAGCCAAAGAGTATGGCTTCCGTCTTGCCAACGTTCAGCTGAAGGAAATTTGCGCTCATCCAGCCCCTGAGATCTGACAGGCAGGCTGACACCGTACATCGTAGGTGACCGGGTCAGAGCGGGAGGAGAAGCCATTTGTGCAGATGTACTGCTGGCGGTTTGTGAGGTAGGACTCGAACCAGGTGAGTGAGGTCCCACTGAGGTGGATGACGGAGGAAAGGCGGTGGAGGAGGATGGCATGATCGACTGTGTCGAACACGGCGGAGAGGTCCAGGAGGACAAGGAGGGAGAGGGAGCCCTGGTCACAGATAGAGAAGATGTCATTTATGACTTTCACAAGCGCAGTCTCAGTGTTGTGGGCAGAGCGGAAACTGGACTGGAGGGGTTCGAAGTGGGAGGAGAGGTGTGTGCAAAGTTGATTGGCAACTCCAGGTACTCAGGGACAAAGGAGATTTGTGCAGCCCCTGCAGGGTCTGAAAGGGGGATAATCCTGTCACTGCTTTTTAAGATTATTGACACTCAACCAATGTTAAAGGAGTGTATTGGGTTTTTTTGTGACTCGGTAAAATGCGCCACAATTAAGGGAACTAACAATGGCTGGACTCCAATCAGGCTTCTTTTATTTTTATTGTACAAGTCACAGGTCGTAAAGGCCAAAAGTTGCTCGTCTGCAGCCGAAGGCGATCCCACTTCTGACACTATTTGTAGGAAGATGTGGATTACGACCAGAAACAAAACTTGCTCAACAGTTTTAACAATAAAAAGAAAGGTTTATTTTTGAAAAGGAAGATCTACCTTTTTACATCCAGACTCTTCTTGCTTCTCCCTAGACAAGCCTGGTTGGAGTCCAACCCTTGTGAGTTTTCTTGATTGTGGCACCTTTTACCAAGTAACTTCTTTACACATAGGTTGAGAACCAATAACCGTAACAAGCAGTGACAGGGTTTAACCCCGTCACCCAGATATTGTGAAAGTTAATCATCACTGGGGAGGTTCTAACCGGATGGAAGGAAGCAAATATTGTTCCCATAATCCAGAAAGGTGCCAGAACTGTACCTGACAACGATAGACATACTAGCATGACTGAGATAACTGGCAATTGTCAGAAGTGAAGAATTATTTGTTCAAAAATATGAGAGCTGACATGGGTTCAGAAATAGTTGGTGTAGTTTGACCAACCTCAAACACATTTTTGAGGAGGTGACAGTCCATTTGATGCACAGTACGTGTATATAGTCCATATTTATCTGAACTAGTAATAATAATATCACTAATCTTATTAACATATGTTTCTTCTTGAGTAGATATATATTTTTACTGTGATGCCCTCTGCTGGACCACATATCTTCTGCATGAGAATTTGGCCATTACCAATTAGACTCAGACTGATAAAGGCAATGGCCTAACATTGATTCTTTATTATTTTTTCCTGCCCAATGTAGAATATTCCCTGGCTATTCTTTAGCACCTCCTTAAAACACAAGGTTTTTTTATTTTAAATTGTTTTTCTCTATCTGTAATTTTCCCATACTAATAATGACAGTGGAAGAGAAAAATGTGTTTAAATAATTTATTTTATTTGCAGAGATATTTAAGTTAACATGTAGTGCACTGAAAGCAGCTTTAGTGTCATTTAGGCAGAATGAAACCTGGTCTTAATAGGCATAATTTGCCCCTATTATGTTCAAAAATGCTTATCGATTGTTACAGGACATCTATATATACAATATTTCTCTGTCTCTGCCTATATAAATGATTGCTTCATCAGATCTACTTATCATCTGGGCATCAGTCCAACAATTCTTTATTGTATTCCATCATCTGGGATTTCTCATTAACTATAAGACATCTCAGAGTCAAAGTAAGATGTGATCAGAATACTTTTCTGATCTCTCGACAAGCCTGGTTGGAGTCAAACCCTTGTGAGTTCCCTTGATTGTGGCAAACTAACAGCTGGTAAACAGAGGTGTGAGGAGCAAGGAAAGTTGCCTAAGGTTGCGCCCTAACCAGGAATTCATATTAGCAAACGCTTGTGCAGTTATCCCACACTTTTATAATAGCATTTTTTTCTGGACCTAGTAACTAATTTATCATAATGTAACAGTCTCTAATGGTTTCCTGGTAATGCATAGTTTTAAGAATTTCTGCTGGTTCTGATCTTATGAATGAGCTCTTGCCAAGTCAGTCTTCACAAACTGAGCCACTTTACTCTCCAGGAACTTGTTCTTCACACATTTTTGGAAATTTTTTAGATTTAATTGCCATTTAATTTAATTGCATTTAATTGCCATTAATTGCCATTGCCATTTTCCAATCAGTGGTATACTTCATATTGACTGAAAAGTGCCTTATTTCCCACCTGTCTAGATTCTTAACCCAGCACCTTGGGACATTCTCCCAATGTGAAAGACGTTATGTAAATGTAACCTTGTTGTTGCTAACTGATTATTTCAGCTTTACAATGATTTCATTTACAATATCTTATTGATTGTGATAAGTGACCATGGTACATTGGAATTTGCATTGCTAATTTAACACTTAACATTTAAATTGTTCAAAGTGCTTTTATACCTGCCATTGTGCAATCTTGTTTTTTAAACCTATAATTGTGTTTATTGTTTCTTCTTTAACAGACATTCCATGGATTTATAGATTAAACAACCTTTGGGATGTCGCGCCTTTATATAACTTCAAAGAAGCCCAAACAGATAGGTAAAATAAGAACATGCATTTTTATAGCACTTGTTTAGTCAACAGTGGAGTGGGATTACACAGAATGCTAAGAAATAGGACTATAGTGATATTAGGATACTGCATAAGTTTATATTTCGGGAGAGACAGGGCAAAGCAAAAATCCAAAGGAGGCTTGATTTCAAACGCAGTTGGTACAAAGAGGAAATTCAGGCTAATAACATCTAAAAACAATTAGTTAGAGATTTTTTTAGGCTAAATGACTTGTTCAGGTTACAAAAAAACTAAGATGAGTAATGCTACGATGCTGCACACGCTTCAGCCCATCAATTAACCGCTTGCAACAGGATCACAAAATTGGTTTGAAAGAAGAAGAATATCAACAAATTGCATTTATATAGTGCCTGAAAGGGAAGGGGTTCTGTCTGTCCCTGGATATCTCTGGAACACTCTCCCTCGATCTCTCTATCTTGCCCCCTCTCCCCTTTTTCAAGTCCCGTCTGAAAATCTTCCTCTTCGACCGTGCTTATGGCCACCTCCCCCCCTACAATGCTACCCTGTGTGGAGGGTACTATATAAGTGCAAGTTGTTGTTGATATTAATCAGGAGCTGACAGTCTTATTGCTTTTCCGCCTCTCTAATCACGAGCACTAAGATAAATCTTTTTTTGCTCAACTGGGTGTCTGACATACAGAAATCACTATGCTTAAGAGTCTCCAGACCAAACCAGAGACAAATCATAGCAGAAAGGTCCATGGTCTTAGGACAGATCGGGGACATGTGAGCTCCCACATCTCTTGTGACTATTGCTAATGGGTAGTGCCTTTACCCACATGGAGGGAACAGAAAGGGCTTAACTCTAGGTTAATGCTTTCAAATAAAACTCAGAAGGTTCGGGATCTACAATAGAAAGAAATAATAAATGCAATGAAATTTCAGCAGTGGAACTTTCCCTAGAAACAACACCTGTTGGGGGAAGTTCCACTACTGAAATCACACATAACTCAATAACTTTGTTCTGGGTTAGTGACACAGGAGAAAGTAAAAAAGAGTAGAGAGGAATGGTGACTGTGAGCAGTAGTTAGGAAATGAAATGCCCTGCTGGGAGTGATAGTTGAGGCAAAATCCATATTAACTTTTAAAAGTGAACTAGATAAATATCTTAAAAGGAATCAACTGCAGGGTGTGGGGCAGGTAAATGGGACTGAACACATTACTTTTAAAGGAGCTGACACAGACAGGGTGGGCAAAATGACTTCTGTGCCATAAATTTCTATGGTTCCATAACATGATGAGAAAGTTACAAAGCATGAAGTGAACTCAGTTTAGTTGTATTTATTTACCTGTAATGATTGTTTATTTTACTCTGCATTTAATTGTTGTTTATTTTACTCTGCAGCCCAAGACAGGGAATTAAAGGCAAATGACAGAGAATACAATCAGAAATTTGAGTATCCGGTAAGACTGAGTAATATTCCAAATGGGTGTAGATTTATTCTATTAACGTACTATTTCATTGAACAGAATTTGGACATTCTCAAAACCAGCCTTAATTTTGAAGCTAATTTTCTGTAAGTTCTGTTAAGAACTACAATGCCCAATATGGGGCATTGTACCCATATTGTACCCACTGACCCACAGGCGAGAGTGACGATTGGATATTAATTGGGCATTCATGCTCAACGACATCCAAGAATGAATAACAGTGCTATCATCTTCCGAGTAACATTTGTTCAACTCATATTTATAGTTTCTCAGTCACCATGCCACAAATGTTTTTTTTTGTAAATATGCAGCAACTTGCATTTATATAGCGCCCTGCACGCGGAGTAGCTTCCCGGAGTGCTTCACAGTGGCGGAGTCGGACATAAGACAGAGTGAGGTGACCGTAAGCACGATCAAAAAGGACGGTCTTTAGACGGGATTTGAAGGTGGGGAGGGAGAGGGAAAGGTGGAGGGATTAATATATTCCAAGCAGTTTACAGTAATAATAATAATTAATTTGGTATAGCACTCTTCAGAACGGGAGGATATCTCAAAACACTTCACAGGATATACTGTGAATTGAAATGTTTTGTGGCAAAACACGGCAGCCACATTTGTGCATGGCAATGACCCACAAATAGCCATGAAGTGAATCATCAATTTTATTGGGTGATTATTGGCCAGGACACCAGGAGAAACTCCCTCCCTTTTTTGAATAGTGCCGTGAGATATTTAATCCCCATCTGCCTGTCCACCCAAACAGGCAGATGGGACCTCAATTTAATGTCTCGGCTGAAGAATGACATCTCCTGGTACTGCATTGGAGTATTAGCCTACCTCGACTATATGAGTTCTAAGTCCCAATGTCAAGCTTGAACCCACAATCTCTTGACTCAGAGGCGAGAGTGATACCAATTGAGCCAGGCTGACAAAATACACAGCAATTAAACAACATCATGTTGGACAATATTGGCAAATCAGTTGAGTTAAAATGTCCAGAAGCCATCCTCGTATATTGTACAGCATTGCATACGATTCTGGTCATTCCAATGTAAGAGGGCAAGTCATATCCTAACACCTTAAGTGCAGAGAAGAACTCTAATGAAACTGTTTCCTATTATTCAATTAATTAATCTGAATCAAAATGTGTAAATGAATAATATAATAATAATAATAATAATCCTTGCATTTGATATAGCGCTTTTCACGTCGGGAGGACGTCCCAAAGCGCTTCACAGAACACACTGTAAAGTGAATTGACTGTATATTTGTGGGCGAACGCGGCAGCCAATTGCGCACAGCAATGTCCCACAAACAGTCGTAGATTGAAAATGACCAATTTATTATTGTTTTGTTTTGGAGGGATTATTATTAGGCGTGTGGAGTAAGGAAACTTGCCCAAGGTTTCACCCTGCCTGGAATTGAACTCAGGGCTCTCACTTGCAAAGCGAGTGCTCTAACCACTGAGCTACAGAACTCCACGAACCTGTTTATATTTCCATATTTCTTGTAATTTTGTTTTTTTAGAAAAAAGTTTACATATTTTAGAATTAACTAAGTTGCATGCACTTACCTAGTTTTCATTTTTTCATTCACAGAAAAATTTCATTAAAACCTCTAAATACAACGTTTTGACATTTTTGCCAGTCAACTTGTTTGAACAGTTCCAACGAATTGCCAATGCTTATTTTTTATTTTTATTGGTTTTGCAGGTAAGTGTTTTTCTAATTTCTTTCAATTTATGTTCACCTTGCTATTTTAAAAACATCTGGGTTTAATAGTTTTATATGTATACATATAATCACTTTTATTTATATATATTTTTTGGCTTTTGTTGTCACTTGACACATGCAGAAACCCATCACTTTACTTAAGAGTATCCAAACCAGATGGAGAGTTTCACGTATGCTATCTACACACAGACATTTCCAGGTCTGAAATGGAATGGCATACTCTCTCTTTAGAGGAATGCATCCTGCTTACCTGCTTCCAGAGAGTGGCAGCTATGGATTGGGAAAAGCCAAGGCTTGGGGAGACCCTCAGAGTATTTTGGAGTACTGATGGAGTTTAACCAGTCCAAACTGTATAACTTGCCATAAAAAACTATCTGGCAAGCTTCCTTGTCTTAGCTTGTCCAGCTAAGATCACCCTACCTGTCAGGGCTTTCGCTTGCAGGGTTAACAGGAGCTGAGTGGGAAGAATCCCTACCCCAATTTGCCCATCTAAGTTCTGCCAGCTGAACCAGGCTGATCGGTCTGTTATCAGCAGTGTCCTGGGGTACTGCCAACCCACCAGTGAAGTTGGTATAGTTTGACTGTGTATTTTGTAGGCGACCATGGCAGCCAATTTGCACACAGTAACACGACTATGAATGAGTGACTAATTTGATAATGCGACGAGGAGAAACTCTCTTCTCTTTCCAAATAATAGAGCTTTGATATCGACCTGAACAGGCAGATGAAACCTTGTTTTTAAGTGGCATCTAAAGGATTGCAACTCTGACAATGCAGTGTTCCTGCAGCACTGCACCAGAATGTCAACCTGGACTGTGAGCTCAAAGTCGTAACGTGGGTTTTGAACCCACAACCTTCTGATTTAGTGGTAGAGTGCAACCAATTGAGCCAATCCTGAGAAAAATAATGGCCTTCCAACAATAAAGAGAATGCTTTAGTTTTTTTACAAGATCTTTTTCTTGCAATTTGTTCTGGAAATATTAAAAAGTTGATGCTTCTTTCAGCTTGTTCCACAAGTTTCGTCTCTCTCTTGGACTACCACAGTTATACCATTACTTCTGGTGTTGATTATAACAGCTGTGAAAGATGCCATTGATGATTATGTAAGTTATTTTTGCTGTTCTGATTCCCTAAGAAACATAATGGCTTTCAACCGTTGGTTGTTGAATCACAATAAATATTTAGATTTTAGAATGTGATTCTAGATATGAAGATAAATTTCAGATAAATCTATAGTTCTGGTAGAAAAAAGTAAATTCTAAATACTCACTTGTATTTTACAGAATAATTGAGAAGGTGATGTGAATGTTTACCAAGTTATTCAAGTTTCTGCAGACCATGTTCACTTTATCTCCACAAACAGTTTCTCCTCCCACCCCCGCCCAGTCACCTGTGGTGTACGCCAGGGCTCCATCCTTGGCCCACTCCTCTTCCTCACCTATATGCTCCCTCTTGGCAATGTCATCCGCAGACGTGGGGTAAACTTCCACATTTATGCAGATGACACACAAATCTATTCTCCTCCAGCTGTGACTCCAGTTTAGCCGATGCTCTATCGGCTTGTATGGCGGACATCAGGGACTGGATGAACAAAAACTTCCTTCAACTCAATGTTGACAAGACGCAAGCTATACTCATTGGCTCCCGTAAATATCTTCCATCCTGCGACTCTGACCTCCTCATCCTCCCCAGCCTATCCCTCGGACTTACTGAACCAGTGCACAACGTAGGCATCAGGTTCGACCCACAGCTGTCCTTCCCTCCCCACATCTGTTCCCTGCCCAGGACTGCCTTCCTCTGCCACACTGCCCGCCTCTGACCATACCTTACCCCAGATGCAGCTGAAACGCATTTGGCACCTCCCGACTCAACTTTTCAAATGCCCTCTTTGCCGTCTCACCAGCTCCATCATGCACAGGATCTCAGCTGATCCAAAATTCTGCCGCCCGCATACTCACCCTCATTAAACTCCGTACCCCCATCACACCAGTTCTACCCAGGTTCCACTGGCTCCCTATCGCCGAATGGATTGATTTCAAGATCCTCTCACTTGTTTTCAAATCCTTTCATGCCCTGGAACCTCCCTACCTCTCTGACCTGCTGATTCCCCAACCCACTACCCACTGCCTCCAATCGACTGGCTCCAGCCTTCTGCATGTCCCTCGTGTCTATCAGTGGCTGCACCTTCAGCCACTATGCCCTGAAATTCTGGAACACTCTTCCTCTGTAACTTTGCCTGCCTTGCCCCTTCCTTCACCTGAAGACCTTCCTGTTCGACCATGCCTACGGTCACCTCCCCAGGCTCGGCATCGTGCTCCGTCACTATCAAGCACTCTGGGACGCTACCATGTGTGAGGGGCGCTATATAAATGCTTGTTCTTGTTCTATGATTCTGACTTGGTAGTCTATCATACTGACTTGAGATTTCTGACTTGAATTTAAACTAACACTTTTCTTCAAAACTTTAACTTTTTATAGCTTTGTGCTGCAAGTGAAATGTCTTAACTTACTACTGGGGAGCTACTGAATTGTGTTATATAAGTGTATAACTATTTTTTATCTCATTTAAAAAAATATATGGTCGGTAGGATTAAGCCAATTTATATCAATTTGCACTAGACGTCAGTGGATATGAATCATTTTATCAGAATGCAATGACAAAAGACTAGGTATTATATTTTCTCCAATTTGGTGAGCAATTTTATCTGAACGTACTGATTGTGGTCTCTCTCAGAATCGCCACCAGAGTGACAAACAAGTCAACAATCGCTACGTTAAGATTCTCTCAAATAAGAAGTAAGTTGTGTCCTATTCTTGTTTTTTGGTTTCCTCAAGCAGAAGAGTCAAAATTACACACAAAACACTGCTCTAATTTTGCTAATTAAGTAAAAATAATGTGTTAATTTTGCATGCAAAATTCTTTTGTTATCTTAGTGCATGTTTTTTGAGATAAGTGCATCCAGCCCATGGAAAGGTCCTGAGATATTCATATGTTTTGAATGTTTTTTTCCCCAAGTTGGAAACTGCATTTATATTTTTATTTATATAATTTTATCTTCAACACGAACAACATATTTACATAGCTCTTCGCACCGACCTCCACACCCATCACCACCCTCTGCAGAAATGAGTTACCTTTTCTTGACTGCTACTCTACTATTTAAACACTGATGAGGTAGTTAAGCTCTTTGAAATCCTTAGCACTCATATTTCTTGAAGTGCTTTTCCATTGACCATGGCATAATTCTCATATTTTTAAGACTATGGAGGCAAAGAGTTTGACTGGAATATTGTAACATTACTAAGTTGGAATTTATTTTTATATGGCATCTCTACCCATAATGTTATTCACACACATTGCCACCTCAATGCAAGATTTTCCCCTTCTGTTTTGGAGTCCCACCTAAGTGAGACAAAAATTATAATTTTCAGTCACCAATAACTATCAACGCTTTTAAGTATATTGTGTGTTGGATAGGCAACTTCCCTTCATTGTGCATATGTAAATTTATCAGATTAGTCCATTACTAATTTTAAAACTGAAGAAAATTGTAAAGTAGATCGGAACTCTATTGAACCACATGGAATTTATCTTTTTCATTAAACGTATCGAAGACGTAATAAGGCTATATCAAATGCAAGGATTATTATTTTATTATAATCCTTTTTTCACAAAAAATTTCAAGTCTTACTTGATTGATAGATTTCCAATAAGCAAGCAGGTTTGTGATTACTACTAATTTAATAGGGATGTAAATACATATTTCAGGTAAATATGGATGACGTTTAGCTTTGGTTTGCATAGACATGTATTCATTTCTGTTGGCATTTTCTACAGGCGTTTATTTTATTCTTTTCTGTAGGTTAGAGAGGGAAAAATGGATGCATGTTCAAGTGGGCGATATAATTAAACTCCAAAATAACCAATTTGTAACAGTAAGTAGTATTTAAAATACAGAATATAAAGTTACAAAAAATGAAACAAGGTTCCTTCTCAATTGCCAGTATATATATTTATTTCATTATGCCGTTAATGTAGATAAAATCCTTGCATGTTTTAAGTGATTGCTGGTACTTCGTTACATTACAAAAAGCCTAATTTTTTCCAAGACTTGAATTCTTGTTTTATAAATATTGCTGTTGACATTGTTGTTCTGATTTCCTCTGTTCAATATGCTGTTTCTTTTAAGAAATGCGAGAAACCTGTAAATTATCATTGAATTTATAATTTCTCTAAAATTCTGCACCAACTTAAATTTTAAGACAACCATCTTAATTCTAATACATAACTTTTAGAGAGTAAGTTCTTCAAAGTTGTTCTTGAGCTTCTTGGGTTATGATTTCAAGAATCAAACTCTCCTGATGGTGGTTGGTCTAGAAACATTCCAAAAGCTGAGAACACGCGACACCATGTCAGTGTGTCAAACATCAAGTCATGGATGAGATCTAACTTTCTACAGTTGAACGTCAACAAGACCGAGGCCCCCCTGATTGGCTCCCATCAGCGCCTCCACGCCTCAGGCATCACAGCATCACCTCCAAGGATGCACACTCCACCTTACTGAGCCAGTCTGGAATTTTGGCATCTTGTTTGACCCTCAACTATCTTTTCTACCACACATCCACGCCACGAGCCGCTCTGCCTTCCCCCACCTCTGTAACATTGCTAGACTCTGCCACTGCCTTACCCCTCAGGCCGCCAAAACCCTCATACACGCATTCATCACCTCAAGGCTCGACTACGGAAACTCCTTCCTTGTCGGCCTCCTCAACTCTTCCCTCCACAAACTACGGATCATCCAGAACTCTGCAGCTCATGTCCTCTCCTGCACCAGGCTCCGTGACCCCATCATCCCCACCCTCGTCCGGCTCCACTGCACCACCCCATCCCTCAGACGATAAAATTCAAAATCATCACCTAACTTTCAAGGCCCTCGAAGGGCTTGTCCCCTCCTACCTCTCTGACCTGCTAACTCCCCATCAACCTGTCCCCTCCCTCTGTTCAACAGGCTCCAGCCTACTCCGTGTCACCTGCCCGACCCACCCTACCCCCACCCTTTGGAACTCCATCCCACAATCCCTTTCCCTTACTCCCTCCCTTGCCTCCTTCAAGGCACAACTCAAGACCCTCCTTTTTGACCGTGCCTTCAGCCGCCCTTCTACCTCTCTGCCCTCCCTCATCCCAACCCTGCCCCCCACGCTCAGGTCCTGATGCCCAACTGTTCAGCGTCTTGGGACGTCCACCCGACGTGACAGGCGCTTTACAAATGTAATTTTGTTGTTGTTGCCCTCAGTACCTATTATTGATGATGTTGATACTCACAACAAGTTATTTTTTGTCTTCCCTAGAATTTAACCATTTTGAGTTCAGCTACTTCTGCAAGATGAAAGTCATTCGCAACTTGGTTAATTTTCAATAATCTTGTAAAAACAGATTGTCGTTGCGCTTTTCCCTCATTCCCAAAACTCTGAGTTGTAATGTGCAAAATAGTGATAGAATATTGATAATACTTGTACCGGTTCAGAACTAAGCCTTACATTTTTATTTGTAGGCAGATGTACTGTTGTTAACAAGCAGTGAACCACATGGCTTGGTTTACATTGAGACAGCTGAGCTTGATGGGTAAGTACCTGAGCATAAGTAAATATTGTTGCAGGTGACAATGGCATTTCTTACCATAAGCATCATGCTGGTGTGCCGGTTAACCTCGGACCCCGGGTAAATAGGACGAACCGCCTGGCCCCAACTTATTTGTGGAGTCCTGTAGCTCAGTGGTTGAGCATTCGCTTTGCAAGCGAGAGACCCGTGGTTCAATTCCAGGCAGAGGGCGAAACCTTGGGCAAGTTTTCTTACTCCACACAGAGCCTAATAATAATCCCTCCAAAACCAAAAACAATAATAAATTGGTCATTTTCAATCCACGACTGTTTGTGGGACATTGCTGTGCGCAATTGGCTGCTGCGTTCGCTCACAAATATACAGTCAATTCACTTTACAGTGTGTTCTGTGAAGCGCTTTGGGACATCTAGAAGACGTGAAAAGCGCTATATCAAATGCAAGGATTATTATTATTATTATTATTTGTATTGTTACCCATTTTAAACATGCTGGGTAATTCGTACAACAATCCAGTTAATCTGACAAAATGCCGCACCGGTCACTGCTGAAAGTATTCACTCACACCTTCCGTGTCTCGGAACGGCTACAGGATGGAGATGGGTGTAGTCACATTGTGATTGATTGACAGCAGACTCCGACAATTCACAAGCAGCTTTGGCCTATCAATCAATGAGGGGATGGAGGAACAAGGCAGACACAAGGGAGGGAATGGGAGGAGTCAAATTGCAATTGATTGACAAGCCTGGAGACACTTGTAAATGGCTGGAGCCCATCCATTCATAAGTGGCTCCAAGGCTGTCAATCACCTCAGAGCCGCCACTAATTGGTCCCCTTCCTGTCCAATGGGAATGGCAATGGGGGGGAGGTGCAGTGATGCTCCACTGCTGGTTGGGGACAGGTAATGGAACTTCGGTTAACCTCGGATGCCAATAAGATGGACTTTCCACTGTTCTTCCTCTCCTTATTCTTCCTCCTAAAAAGGATAACCACTCACTTTTCTCCACTTTACATTTCATTTAACATCTATCTGTCCAATCGCAACATCTTGGCACCTGATAAGAAGTCTTATGAAAATCTGCAAATACCACATCCATAACATTACCTTTATCAATTAATATGTGTAATCATATGTATAGGATGCCTTTCTGTAATTTCTAATATATAACATGTTAATTAATGTTCTGTTATAGGGAAACAAATCTAAAAGTGAAACAGGCATTAACAGTCACTTCGGTCATGGGAGAAGACATCCATGCTCTGGCAGCTTTTGATGGTGTGTTAATTTGTACTATGGTACTGATCATTTGGATTAAAAAGTTAAAACCAAATTAACATCATGAATTTTTAAAAATATCCTGCAAATCTGAAATAATTTTCCAGTTGGTTGCATTTCTTTTCCAATTATTTTGGTGAAGTTTATGGATCTCTAATTTCTAGGTATAACTGTCACCCTTCTTGAATATGGGAACTACAAATACTTGTTTCCTGTATCTTGAAACCTTACCAGTATATATTAACTTGTTGCAAATGACTGTTAGCACTTCAAAAATATCCTCTGAAATACACTGGATAAAATTCACTTGTGTCAGGGTAATTGTTGATTTTTAGTCCCTTTAGCCTGTTCAAAAAAAAATTGGGGAAACTGGTTAGAACCGAGTTAAGAGAAAAATTCTTCCAGGGGTTTACACCATCAACCTGCACAGATACTTGCTCTAACTCACAGAGCCAGTGTGGAATCTCAGTATCATGTTTGACCCCAAGCCCTCATGTTTGTCATTTTAAGCCCTACACCTGGCTCTCACTGGCTCAGCTTTCCCTCCCATTCACAGCATCACCCGCTTTCATCAATACCTGTCATTCGGGCTGCTGAGACCCTTATTCATACCTTCATCACATCCAGGCTTGATTATTCCAACATCCTGTTTGCTGGACTATTGGTTCCCCATCATCCCACGGATCAAATTCAACATTGTTTCCCTCCACAGTCTCACCCAACCCCCCCCCAACTTATACTGTACTTGCTAACTATCAACCCATTCGCTCCCCCTCTACAGTGAATATTTTCTGTATGGTATCCCTTGCCCGATCTGTCCCACTCTTGGTGAGTGAGCTTTCAGCCATTCTGCCCCGGCTGTCTGGAACTCCTTTCTGGAATCCCTGCATCTCGCCTTAAGACTTAAATCCTCAAACTCCCTGGAAGTGTGTACCGGGGTCATCCACTCTTCTCCCAAATATGGGTTCACAACCAGCTTTGTGAAGGGCTTTGTGATACCCTCCTGACGCGAACGATGCCATGTAAATGTAAATTGCATTGTATAATGGTGAAACTAGTTAGATATTCTTTGAATACATGTGAATTCTTTTTTAAATCCAAGGTGACATTAAATGCGAAATACCCAATAACAAGTTGGATAAATTTGTGGGCACACTTACTTACCAAGGAAATAAATATCCACTGAATGTAGAGAAACTGCTACTGCGTGGCTGTGTTCTGAGAAACACAGAATGGTGCTTTGGCCTTGTTATCTTTGCAGGTAGTCAAACATGAGATCCCAGTATCATCTATGATGTGATCAGAATCTGTAAAGATTAATTTCTATGACCAGTAGCCAAAGGGACTCGATCTTCAGGGAAAATGTTTTGCAAGTTTGAACAAATATACAATGTTGTAAAATGAATGACATTAAATCAGGTGTTAGCTTGATTTAGCACTCTAGTCTCTGAGCCTGAAGGTTATGGGTACAAGCCTCCAACTTGGGTTTTAAAACCCATAATCTGTGGTGATATTCTAGTGCAGTATTGGGGAAGTCTAACTTTGTTGGAGGTGCTCAATATCCATATTGAGTACTCTTAAGGTTATAAGCCATATTAATACCTTGTTTCTCAGGAGGTATTAGCAACAAAACCTGATTTTGTTTCTGAGACCTTGGCCAATAATTTTCACAGCAGTTAATACTGTAGTAGATAAATAGTAGATCATTCTTATGATTATACATAAATAATTTGCAGCCAAATATATTATATCATCTATAATGTGATCAGGATCTGTAAAGATTAATTTCTACGAGGGACTTGATCTTAAGGGAAAATGTTTGGCAAGCTTGAACAAATATACAATGTAGTCCACATAAATGACATTAAATCAGGCAATAGCTTGATTTAGCAATCTTGTCTCTGAACCAGAATGTTATGGGTTGCAACCACATAGATGAGCTTAATAAAATTCCCACTTCCAAAAGCAAAGTGGAATAGTATAGAATGGTGAAAACAAAAACAGAAGTCGCTGGGAACACTCAGCAGGTCAGGCAGCATCTATGGAGAAAGAAAAGTGAGTCAACGTTTCGGGTCCACGACTCTTCATTAGAACTGGGGCATGTTGGGAGGGAGAGGCTTTTAAGGGCTAACAGAGAAGGGGGGAGGCAGGGCAAGGAAGACCCTAAAACATATGACCCGAAATGTTGACTCACTTTCCTTTCTCCATAGATGCTGCCTGACCTGCTGAGTGTTCCTGGCCACTTCTGTTTTTTTTTTCAGATTTCCAGCATCTGCAGTATTTTGTGTTTTTTTAAAGTATAGAATGGTATTCATGCATCAGTTAGAGATGAGATTAGAATATTAAATAGTTGGACAGAAAATGCAAACAAAGCTGGGTAAAAACAGCATTTATTTTAGATTTAGGCTTCAGTGTTCCAGCTCCTAATACACATGTCAATGTTCAAATACAGATTTGTTCAAGCGCAAGAAGCTGAAAATTGTGAACAATATTAGTTACTTATATTATTATCACTTTTTTTCAAGGACCAGAAACAAAACTAATGCAAAATAGTGGACTGCCAACTTTTAAACGGACAAGTATAGATCGACTGATGAACGTTCTTGTTCTATGGGTAAGTAGATATAAATATAAAGCATTTGTAACCAAAGGATTGATCTTAGCCTCTAATGTCTGGAGTTAATGAATGATTGAATCAGATCAAGATCACAAAGATTTGACACCCTCAGAGTTAGCAGTCAGGTTCTCAAAATTATTCAAACAAAGTTGGCAACAGGTGGGTTTTAAATACAATAGAATCATTATTATTTCTCAGGAGATATTGTGATATTTTGCATATTGAGATATTTCAAATTGATAACACATTTTTAGTATTGATGTTGGCTGTTTGTGAAAGAATTGTTTGAAGTTCAATATTATCAGGTCATTGAATTTGTGTGTCAGCCTTGGTCAGTTGGTAGCACTTTCGCCTCCCGAGTTAGAAGGTTATTGGTTCAAGCCCCACATCAGGACTTGGAACCCGTATAGTCTATGCTGACACTCCAATGCAGGGGGAGGGGTGGGAGGCTGCTGCATTGTCAGATATGTCATCCTTCGAATAAGACATTAAACTGCAGTCCAGTCTGCTTATCAAGGTGAATGTTAAAGATCCAAACAGAAAAGGGAGTTTCTCACAGTGTCCTGGCTAGAAACCCCCCCAATAAATGTGGTCATCCATGTAATCTGTAAAATGTAATCTTCTTGTTGTTGTCATCCACTCCATGGCTGTTTGTGGGACATTGATGTGTATAAAATTGGCTGTTGCATTTTCCCACAAAATACACAGTCACTTTACAGAACACTGTGAAATGCTTTGAGATGTCTTCATAATATGATAAAACTCTATATCAAATGCAAGGATTATTATTATATCATAGACATGAGTAAGTATAACTTTTCCTCTGCAGTTGACTGCCAGCTGTTGCTCGAAAAGTAGCAGCTCCTGCAATTGTGACAAATGATATTACTTCATCATTAGAAACATTTTATTTCCTGCTAACTGTCATGGTTTAAGCTTTTTTGACTCTTGTAAGGGTAATTTGCATGTTCATAGAATCTGTATTTTTGCATATTTGCTGATCACTACTGTGTATTAAACTAGTTTCGTTTTTATCTGAAAGGGCATAGTTCCAGTTCACAAAGTCTACTTATGTGAATTGTGGGTATGTCTTAATGTAAGAAAAATCCTGAATTTTAACAGTAAATATAATTAATGCATTCTTTACAACAAATTTAAATAAAATAAGGAACAAATGAACATTGTTATTTGTTGCTGTAAGAGACAAAACCAGTTAAGTAGAACTGGAACACGTGGATAGGGACACGTAAATAGTTGCTTAATTGATATGCTTGAATTTTGGTTCAAATAATTGAAGTTGAATCTGTGTTCTACACGGTCTTAAGATAAACAAATTACAAGGTAAGATACTTGACACTCTATAAAGCACTTATCAGAATTTTTATCTGTGGTTTGGTTTGACTATTCTTGAACAAAAAAGTGCAAACGATTCTGAGACACAGTGGTTTAATTTAAATATATTTTTAAAAATAAAAGCTGTTATTTTGAAAGATGTTCTTCCAGACTTGTCTTGTTATAATTCTATATATCCATTTTTTAACTATTTTTGTTTTGTTCATTAATTGCAGATTTTTGGCTTCCTAGCCATCATGTGTACATTTCTGGCTTTTGGAAATGCTTTCTGGCAACATAATATTGGGTATTACTTTCAAACCTTCTTGCCTTGGCAATCTTACATATCAAATTCTTCGTTTTCTGGATTCCTTGTGTTCTGGTCTTATGTGATCATTTTGAATACTGTTGTGCCAATTTCCCTGTATGTCAGGTGAGTGCTTTTTTTTAGTACATTTAGTGAATGTGTGTTTCCAGAACAATGTCATTCAACATATAGTATTTTGTATAAGATGTTAATATAGAATAAGTGATCCATAAACTTTATGAACTCAATTGTAATTTCATGAAACTAAGGTGATATGGGATTTCCATATTATGGCATAAAAAGAGTTTTGCATTATCACTCTTGACCCTTTAAAATGCTCACATTTAAAAGACAGGCTGCCACAGATGGAAAATAGTTTTGTTTTGCTTTGCTTCTTGGATTTATTTGGTCGTTCATACTTCTCATTTTTACACCCCCTCCTCTCAACAAATCTGTAGTTTTCTGCTGAGGGATACTTGGGTTTGTGTTAACAAACGGGGCGATGTTGTTTATAGGGAATTGTTGGTGCAGACTGGTGCTGGGTTTGCACTATTCTCCTTGGGGGGCAGATAAGATACTGGGAGCTGCTGGGTGTGCCTGCATAACATTCACTTTAGTTGCTAATCAACAATATTTTGTGTTTTTTAAAGGAAACATATTATTTAAATTAGATTGTCAGAGATGCAGCTTTTCAGGTGAGATGTAAAACCGAGGTCCAATCTGCCAGTTCGCAAGATCTCATGGCACTATTTGAAAAGAGAACGGAGTTTCTCCGGGTGTCCTGGCCAAAGATCCCCCAAATAAAATGCAAGGATTATTATTAAGGATTATTATTATATGTCATGAGCAAAAAGACTATTTCTCAATATTACTTTCATCTCTTATTTTTAACTAGTGTTGAAATAATACGTCTGGGTAATAGCTTCTACATTGACTGGGATCGTAAAATGTATTACCCAAAGAAAGATTTTCCTGCAAAAGCTCGGACTACAACACTAAATGAGGAGCTTGGGCAAATTAAATATATTTTCTCTGATAAAACGGGTACTCTGACACAGAACATCATGGCATTCAACAAGTGCACAATTAACGGTGTATTATATGGTAAGAATCAATATATTTTGCATTTAATTTTAATGACACTTTCAACCATACTGATCCTGGTAAACATTTTTTTTACACAAGTTCTCAATTATTCCTGTTTTCTTTCAATCTACTTACAACCAAAATGAGATGCGGACCCCAACATTTACTTACTAGAAAATCAGAAATGTGCACACAAAAACAGTCAGCTCACTTCAAAACACCAGCAAGTTTTCTGCACTAAAAATGTCTGATGTCTATATCTTCAGGTCATCTCCAACATCCCCTGATGATCTGGATATGGACAGTTTTTAGGGTAGAGGCCAGATGGCTTTCTGGCATATGCACAGTGAATCCAGAAATGCTAACCTGCGACTGCAACTCATCGTAATGCTGCTTGGAATTTTATGGATCAGAACTAACGTATCATAATGGGGTTCTTTGGATTATGGCGTGAAAAAAAAATTACTTCTTTAAATATTTTGTCCAAACCCAATCGAATGTTTTAAGAAGGAATTAAATCAGTAATTGAAAAATGAGAAATGTTAAAGAGTATGGGAAAAGGCACTAGAATTGGACAAAATTGATATAATTCAGAGAGTCAGCGCAGCTGGGGTGAGCCAAATGGTCTCCTGGGCTGTAAATTTATGTGGTTCTAATACATTTTGATTTAATTTTTTTGTTAACAGGAGATGTACTTGACTTTGCCGGACAAAGGGTAACAATTACAGAGGTAAGAATTTCTTAGTTTTGTTTTTTCCACATGATGTGAAATAAAGAGCGGTTTGCAATTACCTATTTCATGCTGGATTTCATCTCAACTAACTTCAGATGGATGTTTGGGCTGTTGTTCTTATATAAGATCATGTCAGAGTGTATTAGCAACCATCCGTATAAAGTGCAGGTTGGTCACATGACCAAAGAATGTCTACTGCGCAAAATCAAAGGAGGTAGATAAATATTTGATATTTCGAGTCCACATTCAATAAAAAATATGTCCTCTAGATTTGTGCCAGAAATACTTACAAAGCAGCATTCTTGATAGAACATGCATGCAACAGAACCAAAAAATCCTGCATTGATTAACTCCTTGAAAACAATATTGGATTATTACCTATTTGAGCAGTGTTGGAGGATATAGGGATTGATGAAAACTCAAATTAACAAATACTCCATGGGACACTTCTATGCTTCTGGAGCAAGGATGAGAGAGAGGAGCAGGCAACTGTGTTCTGTGGAACAAAGGAGATCAGGGTTGAATTATCTTGGGACTCAGGGAGTGGCTAAATAATAATAATAATTGTTGCATTTGATATAGTGCTTTATCACTTCTTTGAGACGTCTCAAAGTGCTTCACAGAATATACTGTAAACTATATTTTGCGGGTGGAACGCAACAACTAATTGCACACAGCAGTATCCCACAAACAGTCGTAGATGGAGTGACCATTTTTTCTAAAAGCATTATTACCCCCGGAAAAGCAATCCGCCAATCGACTAACAACCGGGTTCCTGCTTACTGCTAGGTAAACAGAGATGTGGAGTTAGGAAATTTGCTCAACATTTCGCTCTCCGGGAATTGAACCCAGGTCTCTTGCTTGCGAGGCGAGTGCTCTAATCACTGAGCTACAGGACTCCACAATACTTGTGGATCCCTGAATACTTTCCCCTCAGGATATAGAGTGGTTGGGGGGAAGACCATTCTATCTGGCTGTTGAATGAATAAGCAAAGATGGGTTTGGAAGCCAATTTAGGGCAGGCGGATGTAGCCATAGGAACATTGGAAGAAGGAGGCGAGACTCATAGAGACGGGCAAGACAGAGGGGTAGAGAGAGGCTGTTCCAGAGACTGGGTGCATGAAAAATGAAGGCTTAGCTGCAGACTAGCATTGAGAGGGCAGGGATCACAAAAGTCTGAGTTAGAGTGGAGGAGTAAAGTAGGAGAACAGTGATATGAAAGTTTGAAGGTTGTGCAAAGGTTCAGTGAGTTTGAGAGAGAGAGGATGGCTTCTGTCTTATCCATGTTGGATTCCAGAAATTTTGGTTCTTTCAGGCCTTGATGTCTGACAGTCAAGTGGACAGATCTTCAGTAGACCTAGAATCAATCATAGTATTCTCTATCTTTCGTCATCTTTACAACATCCAACCCTGTTCCTAGAATTTTCTTATTATATATGATATTTTTAAGTTGTTTGATAAAGCATTATGCTTTTGCTGGCCGTCCCTGTAATTTATAATAATAATCCTTGCATTTGGTATAGCTCCTTATCATGTCTTCGAGACGTCTCAAAGCACTTCACTGTGAAGTGAATTGACTATTTTGTGGGTGAAACGCGCAGCCAATTGCCCACAGCAGTGTCCCACAAAATGTTGTGGATGAAATGTCCAAATTATTATTAATACTATCCTCAAGAAAATATGTTCTCCAGATTTGTAATGAGTTAGATTTGCTCTATATATCTGCTAATCTGCGGTTAAAAAATGTCTAATCTCTATTAAGATTTATTAGTTTTGTGCTCATGATCCCAATTTTCTGTGTTCATAATCCAGGTAAATAATCTTATTAAATCCAAAATATGTAAGACCTAATTGTGGAACGTTTGTTCAATAGAAATTAAAAATAAATGTAAATTCTTACAAACATTGAGAATTGTATTATTGTTACTATAAATAGACAAACAACTATTTTAACAAAAGAGCAATATATCAATTTCCTTTTCATTGGGTAACTAGGAATAATTAGAATATACAGTATTTGAAAACTATTTTATCATCTCCACAGAAAACACCAAAACTAGATTTCTCATTTAATCCCATGGCAGACAGTAACTTTGTTTTCTACGACAAAAGTCTAGTGGAAGCTGTGAATACAAAAAAACATGAAGTCCATGAATTCTTCCGTCTTCTTTCACTGTGCAACACTGTGATGCCTGACGAAAAGCAACAAGGTAAGAAATGTGCCAAAGAAGATATCTGCTATTAAAGATGAAAAGAGGTTTGGATTTTGTTTTTGTTTATTTGGTCAGCTGACACATTCAGAAACCCAGCATCCTGCCTAAGAGTATTCAAACCAAACAATTGAGAGTTAGTTTGTTCAAATATACCTGGAGCTTTCAGTTTTGTCGAGAATGAAGTGTGCACTCTGTTCAGAGGAATGTATCCTGCTCGCCTAATTCCAGAAAGTATTGAGGGAAGATTGACCGGAGCCAACGTTAGGAGACCCAAGAGTGTGAGTGTGAGTGATTATAAATGATAGGGTCAGTACATTTTTGTAGGTGGATGTGGTAGTCAATTTGTCCCACAAACAAACATGAAGTGAATGACTAATTTTATCTGGGTGATTGGAAATTCCCTTCTCTTTTCGAACAATGCGTCCACCGAAGAGGTAGACGGGTACTTGGTTTAATGTCTCATCTGAAGGATGGCCCCTCACAAGATCAGTAGATTGGTTTTCAATACAATACTATTAATATTTGTATAGCACATTTCACGTCAGGAGGATGTCTCGCCCCCTCCTTAGCCTCCTTCAAGTCCCGCCTCAAGACCCTCATCTTCGACCATGTCATCGACCACTCCCCTTCCCCTCCCTTCCCTTCTTCCCTCCTGACCCCAGCTCGGGTCTGATATGCTGTACACTGTCCAGCGCCTTGGGACGTCCTCCCAACGTGAAAGACGCTAATGTAATGTAATGTTGTTGTTGTCTCAGAGCGGGAAAGGACATGAGCTGCAGAGTTCTGGATAGTCACCAACCTGTAAATGCAGGAGCTGGGTAGTCCCCTGAGCAGAGAGTTGGCGTTTTCCACCAAATTCTGTTCCTTTCAAATGTCTTCTTGCAAAGATTTAGAAAGAATGTACAGTATGGAAACGGGGCACGTGACCCAATCGGTCTGTGCCGGCATTTATACTCCACATGAGTATTCATCCATTTCTTACTGCATTCCATACCCTTCTATTCTCCTCTCCCTTGTGAAGGACTAGCTTCTTCTTGAATGCATCTTTGATTTCTTTAAGAAAGAATTACATGGAATTTATACCCTGGAATGCCTTAGCAAAAATAGTGGTTGAGCAGTACTTTCTGGAATTAGGTGAGCGGGGTACATCCTTGTTTTACAAGGGAATTTTAAAAAATACTTGATAAGAAAATATCCGAAAGGGTTTGAAGTAGGAATATAGGTCTAAATGCATAGGTGTTTAAAAGAGCCATCACAACAATTGCGGGCCAAATGGCACACTTGTGTGCTATAATGTCCAAGGATTCCAAATGGCATCATAATTTTGCAGTGAATTTATTAAACCATTTAAATAAACAATAGGACACATCTTCGTTGATACTGAAAGTTCAAAGATACAAAAGTAATCAAATCTGAGATATCCTTACTAATAGCAATCTATATTTTTCTTCAAGGTAAACTGGTGTATCAGGCTCAGTCTCCAGATGAAGGTGCACTTGTAACTGCAGCAAGAAACTTTGGCTTTGTTTTGAAGTCCCGTACCCCTGAAACAATAACCATAATTGAAATGGGTAAACCAACAGTATATAAAATGCTTGCTATTCTGGACTTTGACAACATACGAAAAAGAATGTCTGTCATAGGTGGGTTTTGTGTACTTTAAAAAATGAGTAAATCATTTTTATTTTTAGTGAGATTGAAAGTCATATCACAGCATTCAAAAAATAATATTTTTTCCAAATATTTAATTTATTTTCCTGAACAGTAAGGTCCCCAGCGGGAAAGCTGCACTTGTACTGTAAGGGGGCTGACACAGTTTTGTTCGCCAAACTTAGTCCTTCATCTCAGACTATATTGCCCAAAACCGTTGAACACCTCAATGTAAGTAAATCAAGGGCTCTGTTCTGTAAGTTTGCATTGTTAAAATATAGTGGTCAATATTCTCATGTTCCTAAACTGATTTTCATTTCTTATTTAAAGGAATGAAGTTAAAATGTGTTGAAATACTTTTGAATAGTATCCAGATCTGTATAAAAGGGCCTGGATGCTGTCTTCTTGAATTCGCACTGAGCAAAGCATCTCAAAGTACTTCACAGAATTTATTGTGAAGTGCAATGACAGTGAATGTATTTGTAGGCGAGTGGCAGCCAATTTGCACACAAATACCCATGAAGTGGATGAGTAATATCATCTGGAGGATTGTTGGCCATGCCGTGGGAGAAATTCCCTTCTCTTTTCGAATAGTACCATGATATCTTTAATGTTCACCTGATTAGGCAAACGAGACCTTGGTCATCCAAACATCTCATTCATCCAAAGGATGGCACTTCCATCAATACCGAGCTCCCCAGCACTGTATTGGAGTGCACAATATCTGATGCATTTATCTAACACTTGAATGATTGATAGCTATTATCTTGGCAATAGATATAGTGGAACAATGTTCCATTCCTAGCCCTCATGTATAAATAAGAATATATAATTTTGTAATAAATATGTTTAAAATATATCAATTTTACATACAGGAATTTGCAGGAATAGGTTTACGCACATTACTTCTGGCATCCAAAGAGTTAAATGAACGAGCATTTAATTCTTGGCAAAAACGTCATCTTGAAGCAAGTACTTCAGTACAGAATCGAGAAGAAAAACTGCAATTGTTATATGAAGAGATTGAACGTGACTTGCATGTAAGGATTTTTTTTAATTTCAACTGTTTTGTCTTTAATGGAGACTACTTTGTTTAACAAAAGGTAATAGTTGCTTTTTGGACAACTATAAACAAATTTCAATTTTATAGCGCCTTTCACCTCAGAAGGACTTCCTAAGGCACTGGACAAATGAGGGTTTGCACCAGAGCTGGGGCTCGGATTTGGGGTGGTGGGGGAAAAGCTGACCGAAGGCGCGGTTAAAGAAAGGTCTTGAGATGGTCCTTGAATGAGATGAAGGAAGGATTGAGGTGACGGGACTTCGGGTTGAGATATATTTTCATTCTCCAACAGAGCTAGGGGCAATTACTATGAACAGAAACTACTCCCATTAAATATGTTCCTTATTCTTTAACAAATTGGTAACATCTGCATACATTTATTTTTAAATAAGTTACTTAGATGACTATTTGTTGGTTATAGAAATATGTATGTTTTGTCATGCTTCATTTCATAACCAATATAGATATTGTAGTTTATTCTAAGTTTAGTGTCTGAATTGGCATGCTGTTTGATAAATACTGAATTCATTTATTATTTAAACCAAATTAAAATTTCATATGGAACAAGATTTTTGGAGCCTGCTTATGTGTAAATAATTATAATTTGCTTAATTTAATGTATTTGTTTGTAGTTGATAGGTGGCACTGCAGTTGAAGACAAACTCCAAAGAGGTGTTCCTCTGACAATAGAAAAGCTCTCAGAGGCAAATATTAAGATATGGGTTCTTACAGGTGACAAACTAGGTAAAGAAATTGTCAGTTTTGTTTTATAGATTATAAATAATTGATGTATGTAATAAAATTGAAATGTTATGTTTTCATTGTTTCAGCCTGTGACACAATAGGAAAAGTAACAAAAGAAGCTAGGGACAGGTGAAAATCATTGAGCTCATTGAACCCACTCCTGCATTATGTTTATAATAATAACCTTTACATTTGATAATAGCTCCTTTCATGTTGGGAGGACTTCTCAAAGCACTCCACAGGATATACTGTAAAGTGTAGTGACTATTTTGTAAGCGAACACAGCAAACAATTTGCGCACAGCAATGTTCCATGAACAGCCATAAAGTGAATAATTCTGAAAACTATCCAGTGCCTTGGGATGTCCTCCCGACGCGAAAGGTGCTATACAAATGTAATCTTGTTGTTGTAATTTGTTTTATTTTGGGGATGTTGGCCAGGGCTCCCTCCTCTTTTGAAATAGTGCCATGGGATCTTTAACATCCTCCTGAATAAGGAGACAAGACTTTGATTGAATGTCTCGTCTAAAGGATGGATCCAACAATGCAGAACAAAGCATCACTGCAGTCCAGTGTCAGGCTAGACAATATAAGTTCAAATTCCCAATGTGGGGCTTGATCCCACAAACTTCTAACCTTTCCACCACCTTGGTAGTCGCTTTTAAATCTATTTATAAGAACATATGAATTATCTATAAGAACATAAGAATCATCTAGGACTTGATGTCTGACAGTCAGAATAGCAGTGGTCGGTCCTGAAGTTGAGGATGGAGACAGAGAGATAGATTTGGGTATCATATTCCAGGCCAGGACATCTTTCTTCAGCAGGGATGCCCAAAACTGAATATAATGGGGTTAACAAAAGTGCCTTGACTGGGTATTTTGCATCTGTCTAGAATCCATTTTCCTCATTCTCTGAAGCTTCTAACTACACTTTTAATTTGTTGGAAACCCTAATGTCTTTTTTACACACATTAGGAAATCCTAATGTCCTTTTTTAAGAGAAAGACCAATTATCTTTCTTCAATATTTTTGGAACAGTCTGCACTTTGTAAAAGCAATGAAATAGAATATGTTTTTTTATATTTACAGAAACAGCAGTAAATATTGGGTATGCATGTAATTTACTGCAGGATGAAATGAATGAAGTATTCATTATTGAAGCTGACACTCCGGATGCTGTACATGATGAACTATGGTATAGAACCTAAATGTGACTATTTTTCACATACAGTGTGCAAAAATGTTTGCACAAAAGTTTTATTCACAGCAATATTATCCCAAGAAATTGTTCTATTTAAGGAATGTTCCACTAAAGTCCAACACAACTCAAGGCTTCCCTTGTGCTACTGTTAGCAATTTTCAGATAGATACTGGCAGAGACATGTGAACTGGTTGCCTGTTGACCATTTAATCCCTTTGAATGCTTTCCCTGATTCTACAGTTCTGACTTGGCATTTGTAAATGCCACTGCTACCTTGCAGTGAGTCTGTCAATCGGGATTATTAATATATACAAGGCATCCCAGCACCGACTTCTAATGCACCCCCACCACTTGAGAGATGACTCAAATATGAGACAGCAATAATCAAGGTCGATAGGATGCTGGGCTATAATGCTAGATCTGTTGAGTTCACATCCCCAGGAGCCATTGCTCAAGATGTGTGTGTTCTGGTTAGGCTGCACCTGGAATAACGGATACAGTTCTGGTCATAGCAACATAAGGCGGCTGCCCAAGACTCGGAAATAGTGCAAGGCAAGCTAAGGAGAATGGACCCCAGTATTGAGGATTTAGTTATGAGGAATGACTAGATGAGCTATGGCTCTTAAACCTTCAAAAGACATAACAGAACATTATAGATATGTATAAATTGCTAAATGGGATTAAGAAAAATGAATCCAAAACAATACTTTCAGGTATGCCAAGACAGTATTTATTGAAGGGCAAATTTAGGAAATACTTATTTACCTAATGGAAATGTTTATTTAATAGCTGGAAAATATCACTAGGAAGGGTGGTAGAGTTCAGGACACTTCTTATTTCAAGAACGGATAGATGCTGCAATGGGAAGACAGTAGACTTCCCGAATTCAAGATCCTCATCCTCACCTACAAGGCCATTCACGGCCTTGCTCCCTCCTACCTCTCCGACCTACTATCCCCCTACCTACCTGCCCGTACCCTCCGTTCCTCTGGCTCCGGTCTGCTGCACATGCCCGCCCCAACCGCCCTACCATCGGTGGACGGGCCTTCAGCCTCTCAGCCCCTAGGCTCTGGAACTCCATCCCCCAGTGCCTTCGCCTTGCCTCCTCCCTTTCTTCCTTCAAGGCCGGTCTCAAGACCTTTCTCTTTGACCGAGCCTTCAGCTCCCCTCTCAACTCTCTACCCCCTCCTCGCTCCCTCCCTTCCCTCCCCTTACTCTGACCATTTCCCCCTTGCTCGGGTCCTAACCCAACTGTACAGCGCCTTGGGACGTCCTCCCGACGTGAAAGGCGCTCAATAAATGGAATCTTGTTGTTGTTGTTGTAGACTGGCTGATCAGGAAAGACGAGATCAAATGTCCTTCATCTGTAACTTGAGTCATCAATATGGTTCAGGCACAGTGGCACTGTGACCAACCCTGACCCTGTGAAGCACTTGAAGATATTACCCTACCCAAATGACCTATATAAATCCAAGCTATTGTTGAAAGAGTTAGCGTGTGAAGGTGAATAGTTAGAGTGAATCATTACCGTGTGAGATAGAACAAAAGAGTCACTCGGTGAAAGGGAGGAGGGAAACAAGTGTGAGCGAATGTAACCACACTCCCCAGTCTCCCTACTCGGTCCAGCAAATCTCTATAGAACATTATGACATGTTACTCTCCCTGAAGGACATTATCTAAATCCAAGTTGATCAGATTGGAAAAAACAAGTGAATGGACAGACACTGTTGAATTGTAAACGAGAAAGAAACAAGGATGAACACTGACAAGAAAAAGACAGTGACATGCACAAACAAACACACACAGAACAATCCCACACGGAGACGAATAGAGAGGGAGACAGACACAAAATAAGGGAGAGAAAACCACAAAAATACATGGAGCAAACAAGACAGAATCATTCATAAAGTGAATGATTCGTAATTTGTAAGCCCTTCTCCCAATTGCCAATCCTGGGATGAGCCACTTTACTAGTTACCAAATATACTGCTGCAAAAGAAGTAAGGACTTTATATCTTCACTGTGATCTGTTATGGGTAATACTTTTTAAGGAAATTACTTAAAATAGCAAGAAAGGTAATATCAAATTACCATTTTTTTTACTAATTGTCAAACGTGCTATTTGTTTATCGTATATGTATTTTGTATAGTAACAGTAGCATTTCCATGCAGGGCTGCCAGAGAACAAATGACAGGACAAGTTGAGCCATCCACTTACGATGTAGAGTTCTCAAAAAAGTCAAAGACACCATTTGTCAAGCCTGAAACTATTAAAGGGAAATATGGTCTAGTGATCAGTGGAACCAGTCTGGTAAGAAGCATTTCCATATAATACTTTACATGAGTTAATTTTCCTAAACGACCAAACGTTATAAGATGAGTTCAGATGAAAAAGGTCCTTCAGCCCATTTGATCTTATCCTTCTATCCACCCGCCCATCACAGTATTGAACTGTTTTCTTTAATATATTTAATATGGTAATAATAAAATACAATACAAATTTGTATAGGTCCTTTCACATTGGGTGAATGTGCAAAGGAGCTGCACAGTTGAGGGGTTGTACCCGGGCTGGGGCTGCTGGCTGAGAGAAGTGGGGCTGGATGGGAGGGGAAGAACGGTTGAAAATGTGGTCAAAGAGGAAGGTCTTGAGGTGGAGACGAGTGCAGGGTTGTAATAATCACTTTGCTACAGTTCTTAAAAAATGGTATCTTATTTTCAAATAAACTTGATAATATGTATCTTATTGTCCCATCTATAGGCATTTGCTCTAGAAAAAAAATTAAAATTGGATTTCCTGACCATAGCTTGTTCATGTGAGGCAGTCATCTGTTGTCGCGTAACACCCCTTCAGAAAGCTCATGTTGTGGAACTGGTGAAAAAGCACACAAAAGCAATAACTCTTGCAATTGGAGATGGTGCAAATGATGTAAGCATGATTAAAGGTAAATGAAAATACTTGACTGGGATTGTGGTGTGACAAGGGTAGATCAAACCGCAGCGCAGGCCCATTATAATGGCCTTTACAATGGTGCAAATTTGCTTATAACATAGTTGCACTGTGGACCTCATTCACTGTGCATGCATGCAGCCATGTGCTTCCCATGTGTCATCCAACTTTTAAATGGCCAATATCTGGGTGTTTAAGTCACAGTTGACTTCACTTCCTGCTTCGCTGCACATATCCAAAACAAGAAGTAATGTTGGCTGATGACCCAGAAGTTGTCCTTTTTAGTGTGAGAACAACAGAAAGCAAGTTAATCTGCTGTGCATGTGTGGTCAAACCTGCTGTCATGCTACACTTTAGCTTTGGTTGAGATTTTATGGATTTCAAACCCCACATTATCATTTATCATGAAGCTCCATTGCTGTGTGAAAAGAAATTAAATAAAAACTTCATAGATAATCTTCATTTTCACTATTTCCATCCTTTACCTATGCAAGACATCAGCAAATCACAAGAGAGGTTTGGATAAAGAAAGGTTTGGGGCTCAGTTTATATAATTCTTTCAGACCTACAATGCTATCATTTTCCCATCATAACATCTGCAGGAACGTAAAATACCTAATGTTCTTGGATACAAAAGAATTGTGGAAAATTGGCTCCGAAATTAAGGCGGAATATAAGACCAAGTTTCCTCGCTCTTAATTTTTAAGAGGTTAGTCTTATGGCAAAGATTATGTTGAATTCCTAATGCCCAGTTATTTTTCAACCAAGTCTTCAACACGTCAGGAAGGCACGTCCGTTACGACCCGGTGACCCAAATGTTTGGTTAATTGTGGAATGTNAAAAAAATTAGAAATCAGTGAAATTATTTTGACGTTTGCAGAATATTGCAAAACTGACAATTATTGATGTTTATCAATTTGTATTGATTTCTACCAACATGATTTACTAATCTGAACAGTTCATGTGTATTTTTAATTAAAAATAAAGTTTTTTTTTATAAGCTGTTCTATTCCATGCCTTCCCTCCATAGCTCAGGTGCTTCTCTTCAAACATGAATAACCGCTGGTCATGACTGGATTTCTGTCCAGAATTCATGTGATGTAGCAGTGCAAAAGGAAACTTCTTAAATAGAGTTCCTCTTAACTCTTCATCTAGGGGTTGAGGTAAATTTGGACAAAACATGCTGAATAATAAAAAGAAAGATGTAATTTGAGCCATGACAAGGATTCAAACAACTGACCCACTGGTTAGCATTTCACTTTCACTGTTTCAGGTATCACACCACTGTGCACCATCAGTTTTAAAGAAGTAATATTTAATTCATATTCCTACAGCTGCTAATATTGGAGTGGGTGTTAGTGGTCAAGAAGGAATGCAAGCTGTCCTGTCAAGTGATTTTGCTTTTGCCCAGTTTCGCTATCTCCAACGCCTGTTGTTAGTCCATGGAAGATGGTCATATATTCGGATGTGCAATTTTCTCCGTTATTTCTTCTACAAAAATTTTACCTTTACCCTTGTTCACTTTTGGTATGGATTCTTCTGTGGATTTTCAGCACAGGTAAGAACATTTCCAAATAATTATTTCTTATTTGTCAGCCTTCAGTTATAAGTGGAGAAAATGATGCAGCACATTATCTCCTTAAATAATTTGTGCCTAACTGGGGAAGTAATCTTTCCTTATTAGAATTAGCGAATTAAAAGTTTACAGCATACAGTCCATTCAGAGAAGACCTTTTTGAGTTATACAATATTTTAAATGGGATTGAGACATTGAACCCAGAACAATACTTTCAGATGCGCTGAGACAGCAGAACAAGAGGGCACAAGTTTATGGTTGCAAAGCGCAATTTCAGGTCAGACACCAGAAAATATTTCTTTATCTGGAGGGTAATTAATGATTGGAACAGATTACCTGGGAGGGGATTCAGGCCAGTAGACTGGACTTATTTTAAAAAATGTCTCACTGTGTGATTGGATAACAATAGTGTGGGTATTCTGGAAGGATGAGATCAAGGGCTAGAAGGGCCTTCTTTATCCAGTCTCAAGTCTGCTATTAACTTCCCACTGGAGCTATGCGTTCTAAATGTATGTCCCCTAATCTTTCCCTGTAGCTTTTAATATTATTTTTCCTCAACTATTCATCCATTTTATCTTGTTGCATATAAAGCCTAATTCTTCATTTATAAAGCTCCATCCATCACTGAGCTTGGGGTAAACCTAAATATAGTGCCCCCAGATACCTTGCTTATAGGACCTATCCTGGCTCTCACTGCAGAGGAAGTGATGTCATGCTCTACTTTATTGCAGCTTCTGAGCTATTAGATCCAGAGGACCATTATAATGATATTCCCCTGTATAAAACACTGGCTGGTGTTTCTGTGAGAGAAAAATCACTGGACCATGCTTTTAGGATTTCCTTCTTCTGTTATCGACCCTGGAAAAAAATTCTCCCCACTCTCACCGCCACTATAACCCACATGAAACCGACCACCTGCTCCCTCGACCTCATCCCTACACCTCTCCTTACCTCCCAGTTCCAACTCCTTGCCCTTCTACTCACAGACATCAATATCCTCTCCCTGTCCATTCCCACCCCATTAAAAACGGTCGTCATCACTCCTATCCTTATAAAAGCCTTCCTTGGACCCATCTCTACTCTCAAACTATGGCCCCATTTCCAACCTCCCTTTTCTCTCCAAGGTCCTGGAACGAGTTGTTGCTTCCCAGCTTCGCTCCTTCCTCTCCCGCCACTCCCTTCACGGACCCCTCCAATTGGGTTTCCGTGCTGCCCTGGTCAAAGTGACAAATGACATTCTGTCCACCTGTGACCAGGGCTCCTGCTGCCTCCTCATCCTTCTTTCAGCGCCTTGGGACGTCCTCCTGACGTGAAAGGCGCTTTATAAATGGAATCTTGTTGTTGTTGTTGTTCTTGACTCTCTGCTGCCTTCGACACCATCGACCACTCTGTCCTCATCCACCGCCTCTCCTCTCACCTCAACCTACACGGCGCTGTCCTTGACTGGTTCAGGTCGTACCTCTCACACCGCCTGCACTTCATCTCCACAAATGGTTTCTCCTCTAGCCCCCGCACCGTCTCGTGTGGCATTCCTCAGGCCTCTGTCCTTGATTCCCTCCTTTTCAATATCCAAATGCTCCTTCTTAGTGACATCATCCGAAGACATGTATGCAGATGACACCCAACTGTACCTCTCTGCCTCCATGCTCGACTCCAGGACTACTGCTGTCCTGACAGAATGTCTGTCAGACATCAAGTCCTGGATGAGAGCTAACTTTCTTCAGTTGATCGTCAACAAGACCGAGGCTCTCCTGATTGGCTCCCGTCGGCACCTCCACACATCAGGCGCTGACAGCATCACCATCCATCGATGCACTCTCCACATTACTAAGCCAGTCCAGAATCTTGGCGTCTTGTTTGACCCTCAACTATCCTTTCTACCCCACATCTGCGCCACGACCCACTCTGCCTTCCCCCACCTCTGCATCATCGCCCGGCTCCACCACTGTCTCATAACACAGGCCACCAAAACCCACATACACACATTTATAACATCCAAGCTTGACTATGCAAACTCCCTGCTTGTCGCCCTCCTGAACTCCTCCGTCCGTAGGCTGCAGATCATCCAGAACTCTGCAGCCCGTGTCCTCATCCTCGCCCGACTCCACTGACTTCCCATCACACAGAGGATACAGTTCAAGATCCTTGTTCTCACCTTCAAACCCCTCCATGGTCTTGCTCTCCACTACCTCTGTGACCTCCTAACCCCCTACCATCCTGCTCGCTCGCGCCACTCAGTGGGCTCCGGCCTGCTTCACGTCCCCTGCCTTGCTCGCCCCACTATTTGCGGACGGGCCTTCTGCCACTCTGCCCCCACCCTCTGGAACTTCATCCCGCAGTCCCTCTGCCTTGCCCCCTTTCTTGCCTCCTTCAAGACCGATCTCAAGACCTTCCTCTTCAACCGTGCTTTTGATCTCCCAGCTTCCCCTCCTGCCCTCCACCCTCCCTGTTCCTGACCCCCAGCTCGCGTCCAAAACTCTGTCTGTCCAGCGCCTTGGGATGTCCTCCTGACGTGAAAGGTGCTGTACAAATGTAATTTTGTTGTTGTTGTTGTAGCAGCAGATCCTTTCTAAACACTGTGATGATTTTAGCGACCAGTCCACCAAAACACTAAGATCTCCATCTCTTAATATCTTAAATCATCAGAAAAAGTTAATTATTCTTTTTATTGATATTGAGAAAACAAGTAATAGGGGCAAAGCCTACAGTGTAGGTTGCCACCAAGGTTGAAAAGAAAGCAGGATAAAAAAACGATAAATCAAGCAGCAATTGGAAGGTTGGAACATCCTACCCTTCACACTCTTCCTTTGCTGCACCAATCTACATTGATGGAACAAAGGAACAGAGTGGAGGCAAGAATTTCCAATGTTGAAAGAATGTGTTGGAGTAAGAATATCTGCATTTAATTCTAACTTCAACGCTATGAAAGATTATTTCTCCTGCTTTGTAAATTGGTAGCTAAGGGACATAATGTAGGATTATTACTGGAATGGTAAAGAGCAGATGACTATAAAACTATTTTATATTAGAATACATTAGAATATACAGTACAGAAACATGCCATTCGGCCCAACTGGTCTATGCCGGTGTTTATGCTCCACATGAGCCTCCTCCTGCCCTTCCTCAACTAAGCCTTCAAGCATAACCTTCTATTCCTTTTTCCCTCATTATATTATATCTCCCCTTTGTATCTTAAATGTACTTATATTATCTTCAACCTCTTCTTCTACTGACATGTCCACCTAATCTGCTCCATGGTGAATACTGAGGCAAAGTAATTACTTAATATTTCTGCCATTTCGCTTATCCATCCCTTCGTGGCCCTATTCCTATTTTTCTGTTTTTTGTTTCGTAGCCAGCTTGCTATCCATTCTGCTATTTTTCCCCTGACTCCACATGCTCTGACCTTATTCATTAGTCTATTATGTGGTACCTTATCAAGCACCTTTGGAAATCTAAATATATTTCATCTACTGCATTATCCTTGTCTACTCTTTCTGTTACCCCTTCAAAGAATTCAATGAGGTTGGTCAAGCATGACCTTCCTTTTTGAAATCCTTGCTGACTATTATGTTTTTGTTTCTAGATATTTCTCTATTACCTCCTTCAGTAGGTATTCCATTAACTTTCCTACCACCGATGTTAATCTGAGAGGTCTATAGTTCCCTGGGCTTGTTTTATCTCCCTTTTTAAACATAGGTATAACATTAGCTATCCTCCAGTCCTCTAGTACTACTCCCTTTTGTAATGAGGTATTATATATGTGTAATAGTGCCTCTGCTATCTCTTCCCTCGATTCTTCTAATATACGCGGATGCAATCCATCTGGACCAGGGGTTTATCCTCTCTGAGTTATTAGTTTTTTGATTATATCTCCTCTTTGTATCTTAAATGTATTTATATTGTTTTCAATCTCTTCTACTATCATGTCCACCTGATCCGTCTCCCTGATGAATACTCACGGCCTGTGAGCATCTCTTGTCCATCCCTTCGTGGCCCGATTACTATTTTGAATTTTCTTTTGATATTTATGTCTACAGAATATTTTACTATTTCGTTTTATATTCCTTGATAATTTACTTTCATAATTCCTCTTTGCCTTCCTAATTTTTTTTTGACTATTTTCCTGACCTTTTCGTATTCTTTTTTGTCATGCTCTACCTTGTTGTTTATGTACTTAGTGAACGTCTCTTTCCTGAGTCTCAACTTTGCCCTTATGTCTTTATTCATCCATGGTGTCTCATCATTATTTAGCTTTGTCTTGCTTTATAGCGGAATATATTTCTCCTGGACTCTATTGATTACTGTTTTAAATGTTTCCCACTACTGCTCTATCTCTTTGTTTGCCAGTATTGTTTTCCAATTTATTTTCCCAAGTTCCATTCTCATCCCCTCAAAATCAGCTTTTTCCAATTTATTACCCTAGTCTTTGTCCTTCTCAATCTTTATCTTAAACCTTATTAAGTTATGATCGCTATTGTCTGGATGTTCTCCTACTCGTACTTCTCTTATTTGCTCTGGTTCATTTCCCATTTCTAAATCCAGTAGGGATTCCTCCTTTGATGGGCCTCTTACATACTAGGTAAGAAAGGAGTCCTGTACACATTGAAGGAACTCCATTCCCTTATCCCCAATTGGGGGTAGTTGAAATCCCCCATGATTATTACTCTATGTCTTTTACTTATTTCCCTAATTTGCTTGCATATTTCTTCCTCTACCTCTCTTCCACTGTTAGATGGTCTGTAGACTACCCCTATTTGTGTGATTGATCCCTTCTTATCTTTTATCTCTATCCACACAGATTCTATTTCTATCTTACTGATGGCTATGTCCCTTTTTTCATGATGTTATCCCTAACGAGTACAGCTGCTCCACCGCCTTTTTTCCCATCTCTATCCTTTCTAAGTACGTTATACCCTGCAATGTTTATTGACGCCACGTTTCAGTAATCCCAATTATATCTAGTTCCTCACTACGAATTATTGCCTCCAGTTTTCCTGTTTTATTTTGGGTGCTGTACATTGCTGTACAGACAGTTTAATCCATTATTATTAATTGTTCCTCTCATTTTATTTTTGACAGTCTTTTCGCACTTCTGTTCTATAATTGTATTAATTCGCTGACCATTTATATTCTCCTTATTTCTTACTTTTGTCTGGCTTGAGTCATTTCCTTCTGATCCCTCCCCCCCTTTTACTAGTTTAAGCCCTTTGCCACAGCCCTATTTACCCTTTCCGCTTTTGTGTATGATTATGAAATTATTTTTTATTGTTAAAACTATTAAATAGAAAAGTAATGCAGAAGTGCTAAGAAATCACAATGAAACCTGATTAGATATTTTATTTCAATTTTATTTTAAATTGTTATGCTTTTTTTTTTGAAGCTTTCTTATATTGCTAGACTTCATAGTTTTCATTTTTTTTCCACAGACTGTGTATGATGAATGGTTCATTACTCTTTACAATTTAGTATATACAGCTCTTCCTATATTGGCAATGAGTCTGTTTAATCAGGTATGTTTGTCAAGTTTATAACTTGTTGCTTTTCCGTTGCTCAGTTAGGAACACTCTCACCTCTGGGTCAGAAGGTTGTAGATTCAAGCACCATATCAGGACTTTTAGCTCATAATTTAGATTGAAATTAATGCCATGCTGGAGGAGCACTCACTCCATTGTGGAGTTGCAGCCTTCAGATGAGATTGTAAACTAAGATCCCATCTACCTGTTCAGATGGATATTAAGGATCTTATGCCACTATTCAAAACAAGTAAGGCATTTCTCCTGGTGTCACACTGCTTATCGATGGATTCAAAGCTCAACATACCAAAGCTCACTGCCAGTATACAGTAGCAACCAGTGATGTTTTCTTTATATTGTTGGAGATATGGTGTTATAATAAGATATAAATAATAATCCTTTCATTTGATATAGCGCTTTTCAAGTCTTCCAGCCGTCTCAAAGCGCTTCACAGAATATACTGTAACAACAACAACAAGATTCCATTTATTGAGTGCTTTTCACGTCGGGAGGACGTCCCAAGGCGCTGTACAGTTGGGTCAGGACCCGAGCAAGGGGGAAATGGTCAGGGTGAGGGGAGAGAAGGGAGGGAGCGAGCAGGGGGTAGAGAGTCGAGAGGGGAGCTGAAGGCACGGTCAAAGAGAAAGGTCTTGAGACCGGCCTTGAAGGAGGAAAGGGAGGAGGCAAGGCGAAGGCACTGGGGGATAGAGTTCCAGAGCCATGTGAATTGACTGTATATTTGTGGGTGGGCGAAACTTGGCAGCCAATTTCGCACAGCAGTGTTCCACAAATAATCGTGGTTTGAGTGACCAAATTATTACTTTTTTTTGAGGGATTATTATCCCCGGAAAAGCGATTCGCCAATCGACAAACAACTGGGTTCCTACTTACTGCTAGGTAAACAGAGATGTGTGGAGTAAGGAAACTTGCCCAACATTGTGCCCTGCCGGGAATCAAACCCAGGTCTCTCGCTTGCGAGGCGAGTGCTCTAACCACTGAGCTACAGAATTTCAACTACATGTTGACAACATATTCATAACTGTTACATGGTAAATCTTTTTATGTATCTTTGTCCTGACTTTCTATAGTAACCATAAGTGTTGTCTTCTGCAGGATGTGAATGACTACTGGAGTCTTGCATATCCACAACTTTATGAACCTGGCCAATTGGATCTTTTTTTCAACAAACTAGAGTTTGTTAAATGTGTTATCCATGGAATTTACAGTTCTCTGGTTCTCTTCTATATTCCTTATGGTGCTTTGTATGAAACAGTCAGGGATGATGGAAAAACTACATCAGATTATCAGTCTTTTGCTCTAATTGCTCAGACCTGTTTGCTTCTGACTGTTACAATGGAGGTAATTATCGTTATGTAATGCTTTTTTTTGATTTTATGAATACTTAAAATTTTGGTCAATTCAAGTGGGTCCATACAGCCATGAACAGCTTCGGGATGGAGATGGGAGGAGTCAAATTTTGATTGATTGGCTGCGCACTCCAGCTATTCACAAGTGGTTTAAGGCTATCAATCAGCGAGAGGGCGGAGGAACAGGGGCGAAAGGGGGGGAATGGCGGAGTCAAATTGGGATTGATTGACAGCTGAGCCACTTGTGAATGAATGGAGTGCCCATCCATTCAACTTCAGGCTGTCAATCACCTGGGAGCTGCCGCTATTTGGTCCGCTCCAGTCCAATGGGAATGGCGGTGGGAGGGAGGCGACACTATTACCTCTCTACTCGGAGGGAAGACAACTTTGGTTAGCCTTGGACACCATTGTCTGATAAAACGGGCCTCAGTGTGTCTGACTTAAGCGGCTTCCACTCTACTTAAATTTGGTTTGGTCTTCCTATAGTTGCACTTGAAACCAAAAGTTTCTGAGTCAGTGACTGGGTGTCTTAACCTAGTAATATAGCCTCAAGTGCTTTAATGCCCCCAAATCCACAATAGTTCTAAATGTTTTAAAACTATATTTATAAATATATATTTACTAACATATAAATATATTATTTATTAACAAATAATGTACATTGTCTGATTCTGATTTTATGGATCTTGCTATTTGTCAACAGATTGCAATTGACACTGTATATTGGACGGCTTTCAATCACCTTTTTATTTGGGGCAGTCTTGTTGTTTACTTTGCCATAAGCTTTACAATGTACAGCAATGGCTTGTTTGCGATAATTCCTGGTGCATTTTCTTTTATAGGTATGTATTTTTTATTACAAATATGTTTTAAATAATATTATCTCAATGTTTCACTATAAGGCTGATAACTTGATTATCTTGGAGAGATTTATAAGATAAAGGCAGTAAAATTGTAGCAAGCAAGTGTACTGNAAAAAATAATTCTGATATTCCTGCATATATATTTAATGGAAAGCAAAATAAGTAAGTGAGAGTGTGTTACAAATATGCCTGTTTGCAAGACTAACTCTTCAAGGGATTTGGATCATTATCTGACACAGGTCTAATATGCACTCTTTGTTGGATGTAGCAAATTTTACATTGTGTAGTCAAAATGAGATTATAATGTAACAATTGACTAGAACCAAAAAAGCTCATCTTTGATCTCTACATAAGGATGTTACATCCTTAGATGTGCTCCTAAACAGTTTATTCACATTACCATTAAGAGTATTATTTCAGGTACCATCATTGCAAATGCTGAATTTTCCCGAATTGCTGTTCTGTATCATATGACAGGAAGAATGATGATAAAGATAATACTAGATTGTTCTGCCAATTACCTCATAACACACTTGTGACTTAGTCAAGGTAGCTAGCAATGAAGGAATAAACTACATATTGTTTTGGTTTTCATTGTGTGTCCATATAAGATAAATAGTTGGGCATTATTAGAAATTAATTAATTGATTCAGATCACATTAAAAAAGCAAAGCACAAATGTCACTAAACACATCTTGGAAAATCTCTAATGGGCTGTTTATGTGCCATACATTCTATGTAAATAGCCAAAGAATTCACCTTTGGAATATTTTAGTTTTTGTAAATTCTTTTGGGTTTTTTTTTCAGGTGCTGCTCGGAACATCCTGAACCAGCCACATGTATGGTTAACCATTTTCCTAACAACAGTACTATGTTCTCTGCCAACCATTATCTTACGATGTATCGCAATCGAAACAAAACCAACCTTCAGTGATAAAGTAGGTAGTCACTGCATGCCACAGAGAAAGGATGTCAACTGGAGAAATTTTTAAATGTTATTACTATTTACATTAGCTTTTATTGTTGTCATTTGGGCTCAGTGGTAGAACTCTCGCTTCTGAGTCAGAAAATTGTGGGTTCAAGCTCTATGTCGACATGTTGAACTTGCATAGTCTGGCATTTCAGTGCAGTGCTGGGAGTGCCATCTTTTGGATGAAAAGTTAAGTCGAGAAATAAGAATTTACTAACCTCTCGATTCTGAAAGATAGATTATGTCTAGACAATGGTGGAATACCTCCCCTCACGTGTGTAATTAGCTATCTATATGTGCTAAATCTCTAGTTAATGAACACTCACGGAACAACCTCAAATTGTTTTTTTCAGCTGCGACACAAACTTAGCCAGAGAAAGAAAATAGTCCTTCCTAAACGAAAATCTCAACCCATCAGACGGGTCAGTGCACGTCGTTCTGGCTATGCTTTCTCCCATCAGCGGGGCTTTGGTGCCCTTATTACGACTGGATTGAATATGCGACCACAAGCTCTCCGTTCTCCAACTTTTAGGAGTTCTGCTGGAATTAAAACTGAAAAGTCATCAGGATAAGTGAACATTGAGACCTTGAAGAGAGTAAAACTGGCTTTATATGAGAAGTATGATAAATAACTCTTGGTGAAGACGATTAGGGTTTGTCCATAATGAGATACTGGCTGCACAAATTCCTCTATTTGTGAACAGTGCAAGATTTTATGTGTCTGCTGCATAATTCGTCCTGGATGTAAACAACACAAACAAGAAACTTTGTTATAAAAGGACAGTGATCCAAAGCAGCCAGCACTTGATTTTAATTTTCTTTTAGGAAACACTCCTAATTTAAAGTGTTTATGTTTGGATATTATATGTTTATGTTAGAGGCATTAAACAGATAGTGAATATTCTGTAAAAACACCTTTTCTCATGCTATGTTCAGCTTGAGCTTGAAGTGAAAGTGCAGTTACCTGACAATTGACCTGTGCTCTCGCTACCCCATCCCTGCCACATTTATTGAGCGTTTTTCCTAGTTCCTTGCAGCATTCATCACACCAAATATGCAATGACATTACCATATACATATGACACATAAGGCATGACTACATAGTGGGAGAAAAAGGAGCAGTATGTGTGTTGGCTGCTCAAAGTATACATTTATCAGACATGCAGTGGTGGCACTATTGCTGGAGACAAAATGCCACCCCGCCCCCCGCGGTGTGCTGGTGAAGGGATCTAACTGAGTGTATTCCACATTTTTCAAAATACAGCAATGCTGTAGATGGTAGCAAAGATTTCATTAGAATTTTTACATTTACCCCTTTTCACTCAGAATATTTGGGAATTTATTTGTTCGGAGTGTAGTACATCTTTCATATTTGGAATTTCTGAATCTTTGTGATGTAAGTTATACATGTTGGTGGTCATACATTCTACAAAACACTGTCTCTGCTGGGGTTTAACCACTTGCAGTGTTGAAGAGACAAAATTCAATAGTAGGAAATGTGCTATCTCATGTTAGCAAACAGTCTTGTCAGCAAAACAATATGCTAAACAGAACACTGTTGTGTGTTGAATACAATCAGTGGCTTCAGAGTTACTTATACTGGTTATATGTAAATTGCTGCTAATCGTATTGCTTTGTGAATTTAAAGTGTTCCAGATTACAAATGGGCATTAGACTTATTCAACTTTGAATATTCAACTTTGCCAGTTCATCTTTGTTCAGATTCAGCAGAAGCAGAATATAAACAGTTTTATCTATATTCAGATTGCCTTTGAGGTGTGACCTCCAGTAAACTGTGTGTTCTACCTGTGGTGCTCCCAGGCAGTATTCTGACTTGGGAAGAGAGTAGTTATTAATGATAGATGGGGAAATGAAATGGTAAGCACAGGCATGCTAATTAAACAGTTGTAACCTTTTTCTCAGAAGCAGTGTTGCCAATAATATAACTGGAAAAGACATAGAGCACAATAGAGGAAATAGTCTGCTGTCTAAATAGACATTGAATACCAAAGGCTATTTTTACAATACTTTTACATGAGATTTATAATTTTCTGCATGCATTAAGGAGTTATTACACTTAGAATTCTAGGGAATGTATAAGATCCTCGGATTGATTTCCTAAAGATAAATAAAAAAGGGAATTTTTTAAAATATGTATGACCATTGAAATGGCACTTTGCATATTAATGATTTGTGTAAACCTAAACCCAGTAACGCAAAAAAAACTATAATTGCAGTGGGTGTGTTTGCATTCATGCTCAAATATCATAGTTTCTCAGTATCTGGAAATGCCTTTATTTCCAATTAGCAGTTATGCATATTAAAATGGAACAAAATCCTATTTGCGCTCCTGTAATAGTAGTCTCTTGGAATTAACTGAAATAAAATGAGGTATAAGGCGGAAAATCTCTCAAACCATGATCATAAGACAGTTAATTTTGTGTAATTATTGCACTATCAATAGGGTAAAATGATCCACTGCCTACGTAGATAGATTTACAATTTTAAATATTTTTAAAGGAAAATGTAACTTTTTTTGCTGTTATTTAGAAAAATGGAATACCTTTTATACTATTACATAATTTTTTTTAACATAAACATGTTTAAACGACAATGTTAACATACCCGAAGATATTTATTTGTTGTAAGTTTCTAAATCCCAAGTAGAAATACAAAAAGCATGTATTGAAATGTAAAATGGAGGGGTTTTCATTCAGACATTGAATTTCATCCAGTTCTTTAATTCAGACATTGTTCAGCTACTTACAGAACCCTTGTATGTTTTGCATTTTGTAGTGCATAAATGTCTGAGTGGCAAACAATCAGTGGTGAATTTGGTTGTTATGTTTTGATCAATAATTTCTGTAAAAAAAAGTGATCTACGTGGTAGACTATTTTATTACCACTGATAATTTTCTTCAGAAGTTTGTTTATGTGATTCGTTCTTACTTTCATATTACTTTCCCTCCAAGTGTAATGCTTTGTTGTTGCAAGATGCTTCATCTGTAACCACAGCATACTCTAGTGAAATATTTAACTAAGACACAGTCATAGGACTTGAATCCCCAATGATGGGGAATTCAATAGGGTTGGGATCCAACAGAATCTTTCTTTGAAATTGTCAACAGTTTATGTGCGTGTGTACTTCTTTTACACTTCTCAAAATTCTCAGGTGTATCATCAATATAAATACATAATACCTCAAATATTAAGTTCCCAATTTCAACAAGGTTGTTTGGGAAGACAATAGCAAGGACAGAGTGATTCAATCTAGGATTAAATAAAGCATCTTCTGAAAAAAGATGACCTTCCTATTACCTTGGTCAAAGAATGGATGGGAAACAGAAATTACATCAAAATTGAGAAGAAAAACTAAACTAAAATTAAGTCAGATGGTGGTTCAAAGAGGTTTTGAAAGTCAATATAATTATAATAACATTGTAGAATGCACCATAATCATTCTAACTTCCCAAACCTCCTTAAGATGGAATTGAAGAGTATAATCAAAGGTAGTCATGGAAATGTATTTGTTGCACTCATTGCAATAAAGCTGTTTTTAGCAAGTCTTAAAAGTGCAAATTTAAACCTTTTGTATGAACATTTTTTGGTATACACCAGCTCAGGTCCTAATCCCTGACTGTCCAGTGTCTTGGGACGTCGTGACGTGAAAGGCGCTTTACAAATATAATTTTGTATTGTATACACTGATGATATATGGTATTGCTTTTTAATTTAGCATATTTTGAATATATTCCAAGGATTCTACATATTGATTATTTTGAAAAATAGTTTAAGGAAACCAAAGGTTATCGTAATTTTAGTTCTGCCATCATTAATCAATGTAGATTTTTGGTTTTCAATTAACTATTTCACTGTACTGCAAGAATAGGTGATACAGAAAAATGCAGCAGCAATTGCATTAGTTCTTTATTATTTAAAGGGCACCATATTCATTACAAAGTGTTTTGGCAAACAATTAAATGATGCATTGACACAGATCACATTGAAGCACATCATTGTGTCACTTACACATGTTATCATGCTGAAAATGACACACTTTGTCAGGCTTGTTTTCCTTCTCCAAACCAAATAAATTTGTTTCATAAAGACTACTGCTTCAAACGAAAACAAATGTGTATCATTGAATATATGTATGGAAAATTATTTTAACATTTTACATATGAATACTGATGATTGTAAATATTTCTAAATGTATATTTTGAATCTGTTATATCAAATCTCTTATAATCAAAATAAAAGATGATTTTAATTTATTCAGTATTATAATTCACAATCTGTTCCAGATCACGAGTGATCTAAACCAATTGATTTCATCATTCTAGATAATAATAATAATAATTCTTGCACGTCTTCTAGATGTCTCAAAGCGCTTCACAGAATATACTGTAAAGTGAATTGACTATATTTGCGGGCGAAACGCAGCAGCCAATTACGCACAGAAGTGTCCCTCAAACAGTCGTGGATTAAAGTGACAAATTTTATTATTGCTTATTGTTGAGGGATTATCAAGCACGTGAAGTAAGGAAACTTGCCCAAGATTTCAGCCTTGAAATCTTAACTTCAAGTCCTTCATGCCCAGGCACCTCCCTACTTCTCCAACCTTATTACTTCTGAACCCACTACCCATTGCCTCTGCTTGACTGGCTGCGGCCTCCTGCTTGTCTCAAGTGCCCTCTGTGCCACCATTGATGGCCGCACTTTCAGCCACTATAATAATAATAATAATAATAATAATCCTTGCATTTGATATATGCTCCAAAACTCTAGAAAACTCCCTTAGGTCTTCCGCCTTGAACCCTCCTTACCCTTCAGGTTGTGCCTGAAGACCTTCCTTTCAGTGCCAACCCAGCAAACCCACTTTCAGGGTCTTGGGACGTCCTATAGACGTGAAAACCGCTATACAAATGTAATTTGTTTTCGACCATGTTTAAGCGCTCTGAGACACTGCCCTGCGTGGAGGGCACTATATAAGGGTAAGTTGTTGTTCTCTTCAGTCACCGCCCCCAGCTCGGGGTCGTGCTCCGCCACTGTCAAGCGCTCTGGGACACTACCCTGTATGAGCGGCGCTACACCAATGCAAGTTGTTGTTTTACTCTGTCTACCAGCAACCGCACCTTTTGTTAAATCCTGCGCAAAACCTTACCCCTTCGATTGTACCTTCCATTCCGTCTCTGCCTTTACTCAAGAGTTTGCCTCTGTTTTTGCGAAGCGCTCTGAGATGTTATCCTTTGTGAAGGGCGCTATATCAATGTGAAGCTGTTGTTGTGGCTGACACTGGGTCACTGCTGTGGGTGGAGGGGTTGCCACCTGTGCAGCAGCAGCAACAACTTGCATTTATATAACACCCTTCACGGGTCTGGAGTCAGTCTCCAGTTCTGCAGAAGTCTCCCCAAAAGCACTTTGACGTCTTATAGTCTCGCTATTGTAAATGCCAGGATTATTGTAATAGTTATTGTGACCTGACAGCACCCGGGGCTGTGCTGTGCAGTGATGTGATGTGTTGGGTGGGCACTGAGCAGGGAATAAAAGCCCGTTTGTAGCCCAATGTCAACCAAAAACTCGCCCAAAAGTAGCCCAACACCTATTGTGGAGTCCTGTTTCTCAGTGGTTAGAGCACTCGCTTTGCAAGTGAGAGACCTGAGTTCAATTCCAGGCAGAGGGCGAAACCTTGGGCAAGTTTCCTTACTCCACACAGAGCCTAATAATAATCCCTCCAAAACCCCAAAACAATAATAAATTGGTCATTTTCAATCTACGACTGTTTGTGGGACATTGCTGTGCGCAATTGGCTGCCGCGTTCGCCCACAAATATACAGTCAATTCACTTTACAGTGTGTTCTGTGAAGCGCTTTGGGACGTCCTCCCGACGTGAAAGGCGCGATATCAAATGCAAGGATTATTATTATTATTATAATATTATTATTGGGGTAGCGGAGCTGAGGCTCGCACTTTTGAAACCATGTGGGAAAAGGGGTCTTCAGATAAAGACGCTTTGCAGTTTTAAATTAAAGATGAGTTCCCCCCCCCCACCCTGCTCCTCCCCTCCCTCCCCCATCCCCCCACCAAAACCCTCCCCAAAGCAAAAAAAACCAGCCCAGTTGGGCGTGAACCCGCCCAAACCCGGCACCGTTGGGCGGGAGAGAGCGAGAGAGAGAGGGAGAGAGAGAGGGAGAGTCACGTGTGACTGACTGACAGACAGCGGACAGCGGGGTCTCGGTAACCAGTGGAGACGGCGGCGGCGGCGGCGGAGGGGGTCCGCGCGGTGAGTGTGGGCGGAGGGGGGGGGTGTGGGGGGTGTGGGGGGGTGTCAGGCCCGGGAGGGAGGGGTCAGCGGACAGGTCGCTGTATTGGGTGTGAATGTTTGGGGGGAGCGGAGCGGCGGCTGTCAAACACCGGGGCCGGGGATTGGGTGTGAAACGGTGTCCCCCTCTGTCTCTCCGTCTCTCTCTGTGACTGTGTGTCTGGGACCGGAGATCCTTATTGTTGTTGTTGTTATTGTTGTTGTTACGCATTAAATCACTAATCCGTGGCCTCAGCTCCCGCCCTGTCCTGTCCTGTCAGTGATCTCTCGGCTCCATCACCGCTCACGTCTGTCTGAGGTGCAGTGCAGACCCCCCCCCTCCCCCCCCCCCGGCAGCCATTCCTCCTCCTCCTCCTCCTCTCTGGGTCTCAGTGTCTCTGTCTGAAGCCCCCGAGGAGGAGACGCAGAGAAAGGGAGGGGAGGGGTGGGGGGGGTGGAAGGGGGGGAGGGGAGGGGGATGTGGGGGTGTGGGAGGGGAGGGGGGATGTGGGGGTGTGGGAGGGGAGGGGGATGTGGGGGTGTGGGAGGGGAGGGGGGATGTGGGGGTGTGGGAGGGGGCGGTGAAAATGATGTGATTTCTAGAAGGATCCCTGTTGGATTTCCAACCGAGATCGCGTTTCATCCC